AGTTTTTTGTCACATTGGATATTAATAGAATGGAGCATTCTGACTCTATTAAATGAATCTGTGAATAATTAGTAACTGCTATATTACAATATGATTACACATTAAATAAAATGATAGAACCGAGCGTAGAAAGCTGGAGAGCGCCGTGCCCCGGAGTCACGGGATATAAACGCCAAATTAAACTGCATTTTGTTAAAGTAACTCGGAGTAAAAGTAAATGAGGAGCCGCGTGAGATTCAAACAAACTTCTCAATTAATAAACTTCACCAAAAGACCCGACCCCTCTCACTTAATTCCAGACCCAGCCTGCAGTCTTGTGAGTTATTTTCCCAGGCTGCATAATTTTTACATCCGCACTAGATGAAGTTCTACGTTCCCATCAGTGACTGTGGCTCATTAGTACAGTATAATTACAACACGATCCATCTCACTGCAGTTCCTTATTGTGGCCGCTGTCTCCTGGCTCCTTGGCTGTAATGGGTACTTACAGAGGCTACTTGTGCCTTTGTGTGAGCCTCAGCGTGCACACAGAGTAAATTACCACTTCTAATTTAACTCCCTCATTTTGCATTCCGACAGTAAGCATCCTGTTAATTACAAACCTAGCAAAGGATTTAACGGTTTTCGATAAGGTGCTGATATTAATACTTCATACATTAAAACACGGATTAATGTAATTACCTTAATTAATTATGATGTATTGAATTGTGTGACGCTCGAGATTAATTGCGCTTTTCAGTGGGTGGGCTGATTGTTGATTTAGCATGTCATAATTATAGCTGATAAAGAAAAGTGTCGTCAAGTTGTGATGGTTTCTGGTGAGTCTGTATCCTGTCTCGTCTTTGGACAATGTTTCCCACCCACTCCATGATGTGCTGCTCACACACAGGAGCACATTCAGTGACAAATTTCATCAAGATGCACCACAGTGCACCACAGGAAGTCATTCCTGCCTGTGGCCATCAACCTGTACCACTCATGCACATAACTGTACATATTTCTGATGTTTACTCTTATTCTACTGATGTAGATATTGTAGTTAAATTTCACCAGGGCTGCCCCTGACTAAGAATTTTCCTAGTTGCCCAGTAGTCATCATTTAGGGCCATTAGTTGACTAGTCGGCCACATGTTTACGATATTAATGCAATCATTAAATGATATATTTTGGGCAGGGCAACACAATGGTTTGAGTTGAAGGTGTGAGAAAGAATAGTTTTAGTAACATTGTTAACACTGTGCTACATTACAGAGAAATACAAAACCGTACTAATGAACCTTCATTAATATAGGCCTATATTTTATCTGTGCACGTCACACACTGAGCGAGCGGGTTCAGTAAAAGCTTCTGTCACACGATATAAAGTTTATAACTCACCGAAATGCCTTACGATCATCCACACATTAATTATATTCCAACAGAAACAGCATTGATACGCTCCCAGAGGTGCAGACAATCAAATTCAGTAAATATTAAGCCCAAAATCATTGCGTTCAAGAGTGGCAGCTTTTTTCTACCATATGTCACCAAGGTTACCAAGGGTCCTTTTGGAGTCTCCTAAACATCCTTTTTGGAAACGCCTAAACATGTGTAAAACAGTCATTTTCTGTAGTACTGTTCTGAAATTTGAGCTTGGACTAGATAAGCTCTCATACTTTGGTTCCATAGTGTTTACCAGCTCTACCTCCCAGTTACAGTCATCTGCATCTTTTTTCAAGAAAAAAATACAGGCGAGATATAAAACCTTCTTATTTCAGTATGTCAAAACTTGTATAACTTAATGGCAGAAGCACTTACAGTGAGAAAACCTCAGAGTGTTACCTTTTAAATGAGACCATGCATGTACAGGTGCTAAATACAGAACAGGAACAGCTTTCAGTTCATTTTTGGTATGCTTTGGAAAGGTGTTTTTGTCGAATTATGCAGAATTCATAACAGTTTAATAGGCTGTAGAAAATATTTATTTAAATGAGAGACAGAAAGTGAAAAACTAGTGTGCCTCATTTTGTTTTGTGTGGAAACCTTAATTCCATTATCACAAAATTTCTGTCAGTAAGAAAGTGCTTTCTCCTTCTCTGCATTGCCTCCAGTTGTCCCTCCTTTGTTCCATTCTCATTTCTCGCTCTTCCTCCCAGCGGACTCCTTCGTCACAGTAGCTGTCCACTCTCTGATGTGCCGTTTAACTGTTACAATACAATGTTCAGCCACTCAGACACAGCTCAGTTTTAAACCACGCTGCAATCCCACACAAACACTGGAGCACTGTGGTTTCCCAGAGACGGAGAACAACCAGTGAATCAATATTTGTACCATACCTGCCCAACTGTTCTCCTCACCTCTCGGGCTTTGAAGTTTTCATCCTCTTCTGTTGTTTTTTATTCTCTGGCAGGGAGAGAGAAGGTAGCGAGTGCTAAAGTGGGTCACCCTCCTCTCCTATAGTTGAGGAAAGACGAAGACTCGCTCTCTGGTGTAAGGCTGTTTGCTGCCTTAGGCACCAACATGACAGCAAAGGCAAGCTGATGGACTTAAAGGGCCAATCGAGCGCTTGGGAACCTACCTTGGCATAAACGCTGCAGTCGCAGTTCCCCAAGGAACGAGGCAGTAAATATGACAGTACAGTCCAGGCTCTTTGGCTTCGCTCTGTTGTTTTGAAACGCATAGAAATGCATTTAAAAAGTGTTTAAACACAATAAATAAGAAAAACACACAGTTTGCTTTTCACAGATGGGAAGCCAGCTAGGGATCGTGTCTCTGTTGTTACATTACAGGCTCCTGGATCTGGAGCAACAACATGACCCTCTCCCCGTGTTGGATGAGGCATATGGCACTGTGGGGAAAACAATCACAGGCCAACAGTTTGGGTCAGTCGTGACAGTGATAGCAGCATCCAGTGGGAGTTAGCAAAGGCTAATTTACGTCAAAAATTGAGGGGAAAAACATTTTCTCTTATCCAGAAATCCGTTCCAAAACCTGAGTTACAACAGCAAAATCTTGGCCTCGTTTTGTTCCAACCGGTGCGTCTCTGCCAAAGATGATTTGTAGCCGACAGTCAGACTCCCCTGTGCCTACTGAAGAAATTTAAACAACTGCTACAGTCGGAGTGAGATGGTCTCTTCTTTATCTGGTATCAACAAAGTGGTTTTGCAGCTGCACTGGTGCTGAGGTGTCACCTCCTTGTCTGTGGTGAACTGCAGAGCCAAGAAAGGATCGCAGTTCTTTCCAACAGTATTTAAGCTTCGTCACTGTGTGTGTGCTTTCTAGTATTCCTGTAGTCAAGAGGTAAAAATGTTCTCATAAGTGTAGAGGAATCCCTCAAGCAGGGTGGTCCAACTGACTCCTAGTCATTGCTTCTATGAGTGGCTGTTGTGGTGTTAGAGCAGTGGTTTAAGATTAAGAGGTAGGTTCGGGTTATCTTAGAGTAAGGGTTAAAGGGACAGTTCCTTGAGATTGTTTTGAGTTGCTAATTGTTGGAGATATCAGCTGTAGAGATCTCTGCTTCTCTCTAATATAATGGAACTAGATGGCACTCAGCTTGTGGTGCTCAAAGTGCCAAAAAATACGTTTGTAAAACTCAACAGCAATGTCTCTTTCCAGAAATCATGACCTGGTTACTCAAGATAATCCACAGACCTTGTTTTGAGCAGGTTCATGTAGGAAATATTTTCTTTCTACCGAACTACACCCATCAACTGTACCCCACAGACTACCAACTACTAGCAAGCTAGCTTACTTAGCACCACTGAGCTAGCTAATATTACAGCTTAGCCGAGGACGTCATTGATATTTACATCTTGTCTGTGAGTAGATGCACACTTCCTTCTGGGTTGTGATACAGTTGGCAGGTGTAGTTCGGTAGAAAGAAAATAGTTCCTACTGGTTTTGGGCAGTAGCGTCACTACAAGTAGCAAAGTTACTAATTTAACTGCATTTTTCAGTAGCGTGGTGGTAGTGTCACGACTTTCTGAGTCAAATAGCTTTTCAGGAATGAAATTGATTAAGGGGGCAATCACACCTACAGGGAGCGCTAGAAACGAGACGCCAGTAAAACAATTGATTCCCTATGATACGGGGCGTCTGACTGGTTTTCAAGCATTTTTTATGACGAGCGTCTTTCTGGCATCTTTTTAGACGCGCATTTGTAGACGCTGAAAGTTGAAATAATTTCAACTTTTGGGCCTCAGGTGCCAGCAGCACCATAGCTCCGTCTTGGGTCCATTTTCAATGTTTTGATCGCCCGGTTGCTCCTCATAAGGAGTGCTCATTGAAAGGGCGTTTCAGGCATTTCAAGTGTCTTTGAGTAGCGCCACCTGTAGGTGTGATCGGCCCCTAATTGACAGAGTAGCGCAGTAGCGTCCCCAAAAGTTACAAACTCATTTTCTCAGGAAAAGCCTGGAAATGCAGCAGACTTTTTCCTCTGTGGAGGTCTGCATAAAAGTAAGGATAATAACACTGAGGATAAGTAATGTTGCTGATGTTAGTGCCACACTGAGGCATGTAAAACAAGGGAAACACTTCCTCATGACATCACATACTAATACCTCAGTTTATTCTGCTTGCTGCTTCGCTATTGGTTTTTTTGATTTTTTTTGTTTTTTTTGGCAAGACCCAGTCTTGAGTAACCAGGTCATGATTTCAGGAAAGAGACATTGCTATTGAGTTTTTCAGATGTTTTTTTTATTTTTTATTTTTTGGTGCTTTGAGCACCACAAGCTGACTGGCATCTAGTTCTAATATATAGGAAAGAAAGCAGACATCTCTACGGCTGATATCTCCAACACTCTGCAACTCACACCAAAACAATCTAGACTGATAAATAGCACAAGTAAGAGGATTTTTTTTGGGGGGGGGGGGAGAACTGTCCCTTTAAGGTGAGGTATTTAGTAATAGGGGTCACAAGTTGGGGTTATGCAATGAATATATCTAAAGAAAGCCTGTACATGTTCAGTTAAACATATTCATGAGTATATTTCGTTGTCTCTCTCTTCCTCTCTTCATCCCAGGTAACTACTATGGGACCCCTAAACCTCCTGCAGAGCCCAGCCCCGTGCAGCCTGACTTGGTGGACCAGGTTCTGTTTGATGAGGAATTTGACACGGAGGTCCAGCGAAAACGCACAACCTCCGTCAGTAAGATGGACAGAAAGGACAGCGCCGCGCCAGAGGAGGAAGACGAAGAAGACAGGCCTCCTATGGTCAACGGCCTGGCTGGTGAGAAACATCATTGTCTGTTTCTTTCACTGCTTCTGCAATTCATACAACTAGTTGTAATGCAGCTGTGCTTCATACCACTTTTCTCCAAATTTAAACCCCAGCAGTTTTTTGTTTGCTCGATTTTATTTTTATTTTCCCAGCCGTCCATTATATTGTTCTCCGAATGCGAAACAGCAGGACCTTTTTCTCTCCTCTTTATCATTCGTTTCTCCAAACAAACGTTGTCAGGATTAGCTGTTCTGCATGCAAGGTCAGCACTAAATCACAGCCCTGCAAAGTCAAGAAGCAGTCAAAGTCTGGCTGAGATCAATAGCAGCAATCCCTCGTTTACAGGGAGAGACTTTGTCCTTGTTTCATTCCCGTACAAGGATGTCCTCACATGGCTCGTGGCACCAACTAAATCAGAGCATGTTTCGGCTAATGACGAGTAGCCCTCATTGGGAGAGTAGTTAGGAAACCTGTAACTGCTGTGTTATTATAAAGCACTACAAACTAAAGTGGTAATGGTCAGAACTGTGTGCCACCATGTTACAAAAAGACCATCCATATGAAATCGTTTTCTCTCATCATACCATCCGCCGCTCGAAGCAGCCAACTGAACAAAGCAGCAGCTTCTGGCCCTTCACAGCTCCAGCTGGAGGAGGCTCCCTCAGCTGCCCTGTCCTCTGTTATGGCTTCAATGACGGGCCTGTGACCAGTCTCACACACACCCTGGCCTGGTGCTGTATGGCACTGCCACTCCACAGTGTTAGCCAAGTGAGCCACTCTGCACAGAAAGGACCAAGTGCTGCAAACACAGCTAATTACCAGTGCCGGCAGCATTACGTTGCCAGTTATATTATTTGTTGTGTTTTTTTGATCCTTGAGAACAGCTAGCCAAATATGTTGAGATATTTGCAGCACAATTACCACAGTTCAATCGACAGACCACTCTGTGCTAATGTTCAACATTCATGCAGGGTGAAACACAAGTATATGCCTCTCTAAATAAACTAAAGAGCAATGCAGGGTTGCCCAGACTTTTCCTGAATGTGAGGAACATAAGAATGTTTTTGCTATCACTAATGCCTGGTTCACACTACACGACATTTTCGTCTGTTCCAACAGTCACTTTGTCAGATTACGCGATTGTGGAGTCATAAAATCGTGCCGTGACTTGGCCGACAGACTTGACACATTACACGATGGCCCACACCAATCATCCCCGGTCATCTTTCACAACAAGTGTGATTGCATCAGGTTATCTTGTCGTATTATTATTACTATTATTTCTGTGACTGTGTCTGGTCATGTGCCAGCCGAAAGATGGCAGGAGCTACATTTAAAGTACCGTATGCAAACATGCAAGTCACTGATTTCTCCACAAGCTCCTGCAAATGTTTCACAATAAAAGCCTATTTGGAAAATGAAGTGATTCTCTCAACCAAAGTTATAATGGGCTTTTAATTTGAAACAGATACAGGAAGTGTTGAGTTTGAAATTTCCTAGAGGAAATATCAAGAAGCCTGTGGTGTTGTTGTCGTACAGTTGTCTACGGCAGCAGATCGCTCTGTGTTCCTATTGGTCAAAGTGACAGCTGTGACAAGAGCAATCGTGAATGACAAAAGGAAAATCAAACATGCTAGACTTTTTGTCCGAACGTCGTGAGGTGTCCCAGACATGGCGTTGGTTGTTCTACTATGAGACACTACACGAGATGAAACGATGGATTATCGTGTACGACACTTATTGTCGTTCACGATCCGAGCTGACATGGTACGACGCTGCGTCGAGCCATTATCAGGCTGATACCGTGTCGTGTGAACCCGGCATAAGGGTGCTTTCATACCTCGAATTGTCTTGCTTTGTTCCAAATCAGTGACGTATTTTGTTGCAAGGTTGCAAAGTGTAGTAGTTTACTTTAGTTAATATAATAAATGGAAAATGGTCTTGCATTTATAAAGAGTCTTTCTAGTTTTCCGACCACCGAAAGCGCTTTTAGATGGCACAATGCCTCATGCCACATTCACATATTCTTACATTAGTGGCCAAGGCTACCATACAAGGTGCCACCATTCACACACACCCGCACGATGGAACAGGTCTTCCGATTAATGGATGAGCCGCTCTCCTTCCTGAGCCACAGCCACTTGAATAATGATAATAACCTTGCCCCAGACTCATCTGGAATATAAAGGCTAATTCAGCTCACAAAATATGAACCATATCAAGCATCCACAGGAGGACGGGAAATGCATCTTTTCTCTGTGAGACATGGTTACATGTCAAAGGAAGGAGGGGAAATAAGTCCAAAAAAAAGAGTGAGCAAGTATAACTGCTCATCTCACATCCAAGAGCAAAAGAGAGAAACATTGTCAGAGACACATCATCTCTGCGGCCCCGGGCAGTAACGATGACAGTGCGGAGCCCAGCCAAGGAAAAAAAAGCAGTCATTGTAGAAGGATGTCAGTCCTAATTCTGTAGTTCATGATAATCTGAAATGCAGTTTATTGTACCATTGTCATCATGTGGATAGATTGGATTGTTAAAGTGGTGAAAACCGGAGAAGAGGAAGACGTATGACCATGCCTTGAAGGTAGTGTAATAACGGTCACGCATTGTTTTTAACGTCCATTTTTCTTTTGTGTCCTTGTAGAGTTGTCGTCAGTTTATGAAGCCTGCATGCCCACATCTGCAACAGCCCCGTTTGTGTATCTCTGCGAGGGCTAAAAGCTGCTGTAGCCTCGAGCAAGAGTCTGTATGCAGTCAATTATTTTGACTTTATAAGTGCAGAAATCCCTCTATGGGTCCATGATGAAAAAGAGGGCCCCAATTTCGACACAGAAAAGGATCTTGGCTCCCTCCAGTCACTTTCCATCCCTGCCATTCAATTACCCCGGCCAAACAGACTGAGCATTCAATGCCATGATGAAGCTAGGTCATACACAGCCAGATGAAAACCTGCAGATAAGAGCCTCACACAGACAGCAACACACACACATGCAGCAGCCTGTGTGATGCTAATAGAGTTGTGATGTGGCGCTCGCGGCTGGGGGCTGAAGCATTGGTCAGCTCTTGCCCTTGCCTGGGAGGCAGTTCCCAGTACATCGCTGCTGACATGCAAATCCTATGGCAATTGCTTTGCTTCCGTCCTCTCTCTGTGTGTGTACTCTCCCCATCTCCCTCCCTCTCTCGCTCTCTACCCCTCTTCCTCTCTTGTGGATGCAACCGTCCACCCAGTGTACAGAGGAAGATCAACTCGAGCGACAGCAGCAGCGCAGAGAGATGCAAGGAGCCCAGAGGAGCTCCAATGGCGCCACATTCTCACCTCCTGTCTCTTTTTCCTTCTACCATCTCCCACACCCTTACTCCCAACCCATCCCTCTGTCTGTCTCCATGCCCGTGTCCCTCACACCATGCCGGGCCACAGAGCACAAGGACAAGGCGGAGTGGAGGAAGACGGTGCCCAGCTACAACCAGTCCGCCGGGGCTATGGACTTGCGTGTATGGAACACTCAGGATGAAAGTCAGGAGCCCTTGCCTAAAAACTGGGAGATGGCCTACACAGAAACCGGCATGGTCTATTTCATAGAGTAAGTAGCCTTTCTCCTGCTACTTGCTTGCATTGTTTTGGTCCTATTACTCTCCCATTACATCAGCATTGTGCTAATCCAACTCCCAGTACTCTCCCAATTCATCTCTTTTACAGCCAGGGTAAGCAAAATGTGTTGAGAGATCTGGCAGCCCTGTCTAACTCCCCATCCAGCACACTCCTCTGTACTGTATCAAACCAGGTGTTGGACATGGAAGTTATCAGTGGGCTCGGCGATGGCAGTTGTGTTCTCGATTAAGTTTTGCTTTTATTTCCCCTGTGTTTGATGTCGGGTTTGTTGGCTGGTGCTAAAAGCAGCAGGCCCTGCATTGTTTACCTGGCCCCGTTAGTGTGGCAGGCAGTCAATGCCGAGCGGCTGACAGAGCCAGGTGCTGCTGCTCGCCACTAAATCAATAGCTCATTCTGCCAGCCAGAGAAACAACAGGCTAAATGAAGCCCGCCACCCCTGACCTGCTCTCTCAGTTCTGCTCTTTATGATCTCTGCAGCTGCTCACTCTTTTCCTTTCTCTGCTCTATGTATTCCTCCTTTTCCCTCACTCATTACTCTGCCCCATTCTCTTTCTTTTTCTCTCTTCCTTCTACCTCAAAGGTTAGTCTGAGCTTTGTTTAAATTTTAAAGGTTTCTTTAATAAGCCATTTCATCCCCAAACATTAGAAGTTAGCCACACTTTATGTTTTCCTGGAGATTTTAGTTTTGTTTGTTTGCTCGAGTTGGTGGAATAGCTTCTGGGCAAAGTGGCTCCTGAGAGTTGGAGTGCTAATTGCACGATCGTCACAGCATCTTAATTGTTTTGAAAATGATTTTAACTGCACCTAAAGCCAAGTCTCCTCTTTGCATTTCAGTCACAACAGCAAGACCACTACCTGGCTGGACCCCCGCCTCGCCAAGAAGGCAAAGCCTCCTGAGAAATGCGAGGAAGGAGGTGAGACTAAAGACCGTTTTACACAAAAATCGTGCCACAGGGTCCCTTCTTTACGCCATCTTTGTATTTTTACACAGAATCAAACTATGGCAGCATCCTACCGCCTCCGTGATTCTAGATTTTAGATAGCATGCCAGCATCCCAGAAACAACTGATGATAGCAGCGTCAGCCTCCAGCATGACCTACGACATACGTGTCGGCAGCACTTTCTAAACCAGTGGTTCCCAACTGGTCCAGCCCAGGGGTCCAGATTTCTCCTTAGTCATAAGTTCAAAGTCCAGCTAGTTTACTGTCCCTGTCAAGTAGCTGTCCATTAGTCACTCACTCTACAGCGGGAAACAGCACTTTAAAATAAAAGCTCTGTGCTGGGAATTCACTTTACTTAAAAATAAAGTGTGTTTTTGACAAACTTGACTCATTTGCAGGTCACTTGCGGTCCATTCTGAATGGACTTACGACCCACTTTTGGACTGCAACCCACCAGTTGGGAACCATTTCTTTAAACAATAACAATCATTTACCATCCCCGTCATATGGCAGGTGATCTTGTGGGTAAGGAACTCCCCGTCTGCATCGTTTTCCCAATTTGCAGACATTTGTGGCTGCTGTTCTTCTTTGAGTTAGCTGCTAACTGCGATTAGCTGCCTTTTAAATCTCTTTAGATCTGACAAACATAATACGTCATCATAACGTCACACCCGTCTCATCCGTGATCCCGTCCTAAAGGCTGTCCTTTATTACACAGACGATGTGATGCTGTTCCTACCTCTGCTTAAAGGCGAGACAGCTGTGTGTCCCCAACCCGCAATCGTACATCTCATGAAGAACAACGAGGCAGAATAACGGTGTGACATTCCCACTTTGAACAGGCAGTGTAAAAGGAGCAAATATCTGCAGATTATTGGAATGGTAGTAACCCTCACACGGACACTTGTACTCCTTAGTCCCATTCATACCCTCACCTCCCTCACCACATACACACCTTCAACTTCTTGCTGCATAGACTAGTATGTGCACGAGCCACATCCCTGCCTCCATGAAGAGGGCGCTGGCTAACAGACGGCGATTGAACAGCTGAGCGGGCCTGATCACAGTCATGCCGGTGACACAGCACAAACCTCCGCTCTCCAGCCTGCCCCTCTCCTCCTAATGGCTTCTGGGACACATGCAGGGAGCTCATCAGTGTGGCATCTCTCAAAAGGCAATTTTCTATGGCCCCTCTTGCGTAAAGATCTCCTCTGAGCCGCATGTGTTTGTCACACAGCAGCAGAAACTCAAGATGTTGCACACATACACACTGCTGGAGAGAAAAGGCTATTATTTTCCAGGGAGGCTGTATAACAACTCAGCATTTCCTCCTTCTCTTCCCTGCTTCCTCCACAGTGTGTATTAAGCCCTAAACACATAGTGACAAATAAAAGCAGTCCCTCTGTTCTCCAGGTGGAGGTAAGGATGCTGTGAAGCTGCCAGTCAAAGCACCACGTCTCATTGTGTGTGTCCAGTAGTCCATGTGGTGCCTCAGCAGTATCTAAAGTGATTTGCGTCTGCTTTCTTCCCGTTTGTTCCCCCTTCAGAGCTGCCCTACGGCTGGGAGAAGATTGAGGACCCACAGTATGGCACCTACTACGTGGAGTGAGTAAACTTCTCCCTGTGCATGAAGGGACCCAGTGGGATGCAGCTGTGAATTGTGGTGGATGTGAAGGATATGGCTTACTGCTCTTATCCAGTCTCTTTCTGCCTCTGTTGAAGTGACAGTCGAAATGTTCATCCAAGGGTTTCAATCTACTGTACACCTGTGTGGTTCCTCTGGAGTTGTGTCTGCATGCTTGATTTAACTGACTGCACTATTTTCAATGGGTTCTGTGTTATTATAATCACATCTCCTGCAATTTAAAGCCGTATCGCTGATTTTCAGAGAAGGGATGTCACAAATACAGATATTTTTGTAGGTTGCCAAAATTCCAAACACGTGTTGGTACTCCTTTTCCTCCAGTACTGTCGGTACCAGGAATGCAACACTTCTGGGCCTGACAGGGCAGCATATACGCCTAAAAGTAGGGCCATCTGTTTCAATTAATTAAGCTTTCCATAGCTTGACACCTGGGCTGCATGGTTGTGCTGTGGTTAACATTGTCGCCTCACAGCAAGAGGGTTTTTTGTTCAAACTGGGGGTGGGGGAGCCCCTCTGCGTGGAGTTTGCATGTTCCAGACTATGTGATAGTCTGGTGACCTGTCCAGAGTGTACCCCGCCTCTTGCTCAGTGTCAGCTGGGATAGGCTCCAGGATAAGCAGTAATGGAAAGTGAATGAATTAATGAATAGCCAGACACCCATTAAAGGGTAACTGTTTATTTTTTTTAAGAAAATCACAAAATGACATAATGACACAATGACAAGAGGCCTTTTTTCTTAGTCTGGCGCTTCATTGACTCAGTCAGCCTTAGCGCCACATTTCAAAGTAGTATCGATTTATTGGTGGTGAAATTTTGATGTTTAGTGATGTTAATGTGTTACCTTTTATTTTATTGCCATGTTAACATGATTAAACATAGAGCACACTGCCCACCCTCTGGTCTCCACTTGTTAGCTAACATTAGCCTTGGCTGCTCTGCACTGCATACTACTGAGGTTGAGAGCTAACGTTAGCTAGCTGTTAGCAGTGCCATCTTATTTCAGTCACTGCTGGTTGCTGCGGAAACATTGTCCACACCCTTCAGTCTCCCCCTGATCACCTCGGTGAGTAAGTGGCTTAATTGTGAGCCGAAAAACCTCCTTAGCATTAGCCATGTTTCCATCCAAAAGTGATTTGAATCATTGGGAAATGCGCATTAAAAGAAATACGAATCCTGTGTGTTTCCATTAAATGTACGGACTTTGGTGAAAACTACAAACTCGCACGAGTTTTCCGCAGAACTGGAAACAAAACAAGTCTCGCATTATTCTTCTTTCTATGTTTTCTGGAAGTTGGCAACCAGCTTGTAAATGCATTACCGCCTTCCCGACCCAGAGTGTGGATATCACCATGGAGAGAGGTGTGCTATGACTTAACTTAAGTTGAACATAACTGTTTCCATCCCCCGTTTTGCGGATCAACATTTTTTCAAATCAACCAAAACCCGGCTATAGCGAGCGTATGTTAGTTTGTGCGAATCAGGGGATTTTAATTCGAATTTTGGCGTTTCCGTCATAATTTTCAGATGCGATACTTCTAGATGCGCATCTAAACAGGCTGATGGAAACATGGCTATTGTTAGCTATGTTAGCACCGCTAGCTGTGCTGACAGTGCTAACAGTGCTAACTAGAGTTGTACTGATACCAGTATCGGAAATGCCTCCGATACTGCCTAAAATGTGGTATTGGGTATCGACGAGTACAGACTATGACCAATCCGATACCACGTACTGCTTATCTTTATTTTACGCGCTGGTATCGGATCAGTACTCGGTATCAGCAGATACCTAAGGTTCAGGGATCGGAATCGGTATCGGGAAGGAAAAAGTGGTATCGGTGCATCTCTAGTACTAACAGAGCTTAACAGAGCTCCTTAACAATACCTAAGGGACTTTGTGGTTCAAAATTAAGCCACTTGCTCACCGGGGCGACCTGAAGAGAGACCAGAGGGTGGGCACAATGTTTCTACAGCAGCACTGTTGGGTCTGTATGGCATTGATAGCGATAATCACCGAATAAGCAGCTCCGCTAGCTCCCACCAAACGCAGGTGGTGTGCAGTAAACTGAAGAGTAGCAAAAATAACCTCTAGACCAGAGCCTTTTTTGACCAAAAATAATAAAAACAAAATCTGTGTGGAGCCGCACAGAGATTCTGGAGCTTACACTTTGCAGAGCTGGCAGTGAAAGCAAACAAATCTGTCCACGTTTGACGTCGAGTTGATAAATGTCCAACTGTGGGTAACTTTGGCTCGTCACTGTCACATCTTACCCAGCTGTCCAATCACAACAACAATGGAGGAGAAATATGTTAATTTACTATAGATCCATGGTTTTTTAACCTTCTTGTGCTCAAATCACAAAATCTCAAGGCACACCTGTTTCTACATCTGTGCACAGTGGCCTCTTATCACTCTTGTCAGGACATAAGACAATAAAAATAACAAGAAATAAGACAGGTAGCTTTCATGATACTGTCTACTGACAGTTTTTCTTTTCTCTTTTTTTTCGGTGGTAGGTCGTCTTCACTGGTGCTTTGTTGTAATTTGCTCTGTACAATGAAGCGATCCATCGTCCCACTCATGGCTCTCTCCTTTTAATTGATATGATCCCTCACACTGGCTGCCAATCAGGGAGATTTTCTAAATTGAATTAAATTAATTTAATTTTTTTTTTTTTTTATCCAGAGTTTGCCTCTTTATTAGGAACAACATTCTGATATAGTCAATTAAAAATTCATTCATAACTTTTTGTTTAGGCCCAGTTGAATATTGCACTAATAATGTGCGGTGATCACAAAATCCAATGGTGCACCATAGACATATATTAATATATGTTTCATCACCCACAAAATCTCATGAACCTTCGTAGACTAGTACGTTGCATTCGAGACAGATCATCATATTAAAATCAAAATTTAATTTAAATGTTTTAATAAAGGTGTGCATATTCAAGTCCATTTAAGTAGTACTAAATTTCTGGTATTGTGACATGCCTGTTCCAGAGGTATAGAGGCATTAAATGAGTTCATCTCAGGGGACCTGTGGAATATGTGATAGTGGCATAAAATGCTTTTGTCCGTGAGGTAGTTTCCCACAGTCCTGCAGAAAGCAATTATGTCAGCAGAGATAACACTGCTGGGTTACAGCTTTGAGTGCGTGAACGAGAGAAGACAGCGAAGAAAACAGACAATGAAGGCTCAGGGTCCCTGAGAGTGAAACAAGGGCCGAGATTCCATTCTGATCAAGAGTGTAAACAAGAGCACAATGTTCCATTTTAGTCCCATTACTGTGGTCAAAGAGGGAGAGACCTGCAGGCAGGGGGGGACTCAGAGCTCCTGTTTATGCAAGAGGGTCATTGAAAGGCTGCCTCTCCCCCGTCTCCGTCTCTTTGTCTGGCAAATTTTGTTGTGAATGAACGAGCGAATGTGACAACGTGACACAAAGTGCCATTATTTCCTCTACAGCCAAACAAAACATGAGGTGTGGCAATCAAGGGGCGAGAAAGTGAGCCAGAGAGGAAATGAAAGAGTGGGAATGAAAGAGAGGGGAATGTTTATCTCTCCACACTTAATGGGGAGGGTATCTCTGTGCATGAGTCATACGCAGCAAGAGCACTATTTGTTGAACACACACACATACACACACACATACACATATACCATCAGCGCCTCAGCATGTGGCTGATTCACTGTGCAGCATCGATGCTTTCTGCCTTCCCAAGGTGCTGTCATGACCGGGATTTACAACTGTTCAAGCTCATTAGGCAGATGAGCTACTTCTCTCCATTACCATCTAACCGTGGAGGGACATTTCTCTGGGTAGCAGAAATTGTTCCGGCACGCAGGTGTGACCTGTGAGTCATTAATTGTTTTTAGATTGAGTTTGGCATAAATTCCCCAAAGTGGAGTTTTTTCAGAGCAGTTTAAAAAGACATCTCTGGCCGTGTGATATGAAAAAGGAGGCACATATCCATTTACATCCATCTACAGTTTATTTAATCTTTTGATCCTGGGATTACAATGCATCAAGCAGATGCCGATCCCATCATGGCGATGTGGACTATCGCGCCAAAGATTGCTACTGATCCTCTCTATCCAATTCTCTTTGAATCCACTGAGAATGTCCAGGCAGTTTTTATATTTCTGAGGTTTAGTCGTGCTCTCAGTCCATCTGTACGTGTTGCACTTCTGGCACACACAGGTTTGTGTTTGTCGTTGTGTCAGAGCAGCCTGTACAACACGCTGTCTGCCCAGCATAGGTTACGTCACACCCAGCACTCATAGTCAAATCACAGGTTTGCATGACTGTATCAAGAGTGTGGACAAGCTGAGCTCTGTGAGGTCAAAAGGTACGACAGCAGACAGACAGAAAAGCAGGAACATTAGTGGGCAGTCAGACTGTTTGTTGTCAGCTGATGAATAAAATGATGAACAGAACGCCAACAAAAACAGGATGGAAACACACCAGGATCACCTACGCTCCTTATCTTAGAGCTTTATCTAACAACTTGTTCTATTGTGTTGAGATCTTTATCATCTAATGTTGTTATCTCTCTTGTGCAGCCACATCAACCAGAAGACCCAGTTTGAGAATCCAGTGCAGGAGGCGAAGAGGAAACTGAGCGTCGACACGTCTACTGTAGGGCTGCCACCTGTAGCCACACCCTCAGGTAACTGCAACCACAGTATGTACACAAGTGGTAATGGGGAGAGAGTTGTAGGGACAAAACGTTAACTCAAAAAATTCAATTTGATTTATTTTGAAAATCAAAACCACATTGAGACATTGAGCCAATGTGATTTAAGATGCAAGGATTAAATGCTGGCATAATGAACACATGTAATTATAGACATTGGTATTGTGGTTTTAAAATAATGAATGTAGACACTGGATGTCGCCATTTGGTTTGTGGAGTCCCCTTTGAAGCTCAATTTGGCATTTGGCCGCTGCCATCTTGGATTTTTTGAGCCAGAAGCAACAAAGAGTGACCATATTTGGACGAGAGGGTGGAACTTACCCTAATGCTAGCTGCTAGCTTGTTAGCACAGTGTTTTTACAGTCTGGTTATAATGTGATCATGCTAATGCTAATTTTCACTAGCAGAAAAACAGACTTGAAACCATCTAAACAAAATGTTCTGACCAGGAAAACTGAACACCTGATATAGGGCCGGGCGATATGTGTATGCGTGTGTAATCATGATTGACACAGTGTGGGGTTGTATTTATATTTTAACATCCAACAAATTTTGATCTTATCTAATTGATAAGAAAGCTCAGAGTGAAGGGGGGAGAGAGAGAGAGGGGATGACATGCAGCAAAGGGCCACAGGTTGGAATCGAACCCGGGCCGCTGCAGCAACAGCCCTGTACATGGGGCGCCTGCTCTATCGAGTAAGCCACCGACGCCCCCAAAGACACAGACGTGGCGTGCTTCAGTCTTACTAGTTTCTTTGCTGATTTAATGTCACATTTGGACTCTGAATGCTTAATGATTTTCAAATATAACATAAATGGGTGGCATGGTGGTGCAGTGGTTAGCATTGTTGCCTCACAGCAAGAGGGTTACTGGTATGAACCCAGGGTGGGGGAGCCCTTCTGTGTGGAGTTTGCATGTTCTCCCTGTGTTAGCGTGGGTTTCCTCCAGGTGCTCCAGCTTCCTCCCACAGTCCAAAGACATGCAGGATAATTGGTGACTCTAAATTGTCCGTAGGTGTGAATGTGAGAGTGACTGGTTGTTTCTATGTGTCAGCCCTGTGATAGACTGGTGATCTGTCCAGGGTGAACCCTGCCTCTCGCCCAATGTCAGCTGGGATAGGCTCCAGCACACCCGTGACCTCCATCAGGATAAGCATAAATATATGAACATAAACGGTGCTCTAGCTGAATACCTTTTACATTTGGCTGTGTATCCTCGTCTTCCTGCTGCTCCATACGCTGCAGCACAGGTGCAGATGTTGAGTATAAAGACACAGCATTATTTAAACACAGGTTCTGGCCTTATAGTTTTAGCTTTCTGTTCAATGGAGAATAAAACCTATATAACAAGGTATTAAATGTGTTATCCAAACACTGGAGCACTTTTATCATCTACTTCACGCTGAGATGACTGTCTGAAAGATGTTCTAACAGTTGACAGGCTGCTGATAAACATTCCATAGCCTCTGAAGCAATGATATTCAATTTGAATAATGGAGCGGCGCTTCACTGGGCGGCAGAATTCATTCTGACAAGTAGATTGTGAAATAGGGAGAGCTCTGAGGTCTCTTTGAAAGTGCTTTTGCCCCAGTCATTCACCGCAGTTCAAAGATCTCTTTAGAACAGAGGAAGGGAAGGAGACAGAGAAGGAGAAAGAGGTGAGAGTGACTTATGATCATAAATTGCATTTCAGCTGGGTCATCTGTTCATCATTTACCACCTGTGGTGAACGATGCCGCTCGGCTGGCCTAATCACCCTCCTCTCAGTCAACGTAAGGCTCCGAGAAGCGGCAGCCCTGCGTTGTTGTAACACGAGTAGGAATTATTAGACTCTTCTGCATGCTTACACACAAAGCATGACCACATTAGCATTCAAACTAGCCTCTGTGTTTCAGACGCCCCTCGGACAGAGCTGTCTGCCTCACTCTGCTGCATGCAGACCCCCACCTCCCACAGCTGAGCCTCTCTGCAGTCTGCGGCTGATATTTCCTCCGTGTGCCACCGCCTCCAGCTTCGACTGCCTCCCCTGTGCACGCTCTGCACCTTCCCACCCTTGTTAATGAGAATTAATGGGTAGTGGTCTTGCGCAAGTGTGTGGACGTACGTGAGGTGGCATCTAAACACTGTTTTGACAAGGCTGGCTCGCCTGACCCCCCCAGACAATGCCGCAGAGCACAGGAGCAAAGCGCAGCACTATGCTCAGCCATAATTACAGCGCTGACAATCCTGTCTGACATTTCATATAATCACTTCACCCCCGAGAACACAGACTGTCCCTTTGTGGCCCACAGCTTAATCAAGATCATGTAAACATGGCTTTGGTGTATAGCCCCCCCCCCTGCTCCAGCTTTACTTCTCTGTCAGCATTGCTTTCATGGTGATCATGTGAGAAACAGAGCTGGCGAGCGTGTGAACATGGAAGGCCTCGACGTTCTAAATCCTATCAAACATGCATATTAGACACACGGTCACACCTTAAAGGAGCAGTATCTCAGATTTAGTGGCATCTTGCGACGAGGATTTTAACCAGTTGAAACTTCTTCAGTTCGATTTCTTTTAGTGTTCAGGAGGTTTTTATTCGAAGCCAAAATATCTCTTCCTCTCCAAACAAATGGATCAGATTTTTCTGACACTGCTCGTCATGACAGGGCTGCTAACTGCGGTGGCAAAAGCGCAAATGTCCCTATCTAGAGCCAGTTTTTGGTTTGTCCACTCTGGGCGACTGTAGAAACATGGCGGAATCCGTCGACTAGGACCTGCTCCTTATGTACATATAAACTTCTGAAATCATGAAAACATGAGTTCCCTATTTAGAGCCAGTGTTTGGTTGAGTGTTTTGTTTGTCTGTCGACCTGCGAGCATGGAGCAAACAAAGGAGAAGGAGAAAAAGAAATAACTTGTCCGCCGCTGAGATTGAAGTTATTTTAGGTGAAGTGGGGTTGTGAAAAACATTTTTATTTTCCTCTGTTAGTGTTGGTGTGTCAGAGACAGGTAAATCAAAGGCTTGGAAGGAGGCAACGGGTGCCGTTAACTCTGTGTCCTCTGTTGTAACAATCATCCAAAACGCTAAAGGAAAATGGTTCGACATGAAGCTTGAAAAGATGCACAAGTACACACACTAACCCTTCCCAGTCACAGCTCTCTGCTGCACATGAGCGCATTGCTGCATCATCAGAATGGCCTCTCTGTCAGTTTGCCCTAACCCTCGACATTTGTTGTCTCTGTTGTGAAATTAAACCACTATTAAAACATCTTAATACAGGCAGTCTAATGTCGGCAATAAGCCACCGTTAAGTTTAACAACAAGTAAGATAGTCTACCTCCAACACTCAAATTCAGGTTCACCAGCTGCCCATTGTGAGCGGAGACTTCACGTCTTAAGGCCCTGACACACCAAGCCGACAGTCAGCCGTCGACCAAAGTAGGGCCGTCGGTGAGCATCTGTCAGCCTAGTTTTTGCAGTGTGTCCCTCACTGTCGGCACTTTGGTGTCACCGGCTTTTCGGCCAATTGAGCATGTTGAATCGGCGCCGAAGCTTGTCGGTGAGAGAGGTGGTTTTATTTCCTCGCCCCTGTAGCAAGTGAATCTGCCTGTAGTGAAACTGGGGCTAACCGGTGCTTCCTCCTCAGGCTCCACTTCACTCAGCTGCCCGACAGGTTTGCTGCTTCTTCCCATTTTAACCTGAATAACAAACCGGAGCTAGCTGTGAGGCTAGTGGAGCGTTAGCCGCAGCATGACCAGAGGGAAGCACAGCCAGTTAGCCTCCGCTAGTCTCTGAGCTAGCCCCGGCTCTCCGTTTGGATTCAACCGGAGCACCGAGCCCTGGTTTGTTATTCAGGTTAAAGTGGGAAGAAGCAGTGGGTTTATCGGGCAGCTGAGTGAAGTGGAGCCTGCGGAGGAAACACCGGGACCGTCTGGATGTAATAGTCCGTGGAGGTGCTGCGGTGCTCGGCTGCACAGATAGGAAACCCCTCGGCTGACAGGATGTACCACTCTGTCACTCCGCTCTCTCTCACGCAGGCGCAGAACGTACGTGCCACTTGGCCGTCGGATGTAGTCCGTGTAGTGTGTTCAAATGCAACTGACGCAGGGCGACGTGAGGCGACGCAGACGACGCAACAGTTGGCTTTCATTGCCGCAAGTTCTTTAGTGTCGGTTTGGTGTGTCCGCACCTTAAGTGCTTTCCCACATCTGCAGCAGGGGCGATTGCTCTGAAACAACAAGGGAGGCTGATCTTCCCCTAACACTTCATAGAAGAAATGGTCAAATATGCACTATTGAACTTACATTAAAGTAAGAATTCACATTGCATTAAACGTGCACTGGGATGCGTTTCACATCATGACTACGATGCTCAAACGTCAGCTGTTTATCACCAGTTTTCAAATGCGATCTCCCTGTCATACTCTCGTGTCAGCATGGTGGTCGTGGAGCCTCCGAGCATTCCTATGAGACAGCGCTGAGCAGGTTTCTTTCATGCAGCAAAGCGAGACGGTCATTGGATAAATGCGACAAAATCGTCACTTCCAGGGAGGCTCAGCTTCCCTGGGACCTAATGGAGCGGTAAGCGGGAGAGGACGCTCGGTGTCTGCATGATGATTGGAGGAACTGTCTAAAAGGCTGAACCCCTTTGTGATTGACAGCGCTTCGCATTTCGAGCTCAGTCCCACGCGGATATTTGCAAGTGGAGTCTTCTGACAGAGAGCCGCCCAGAGTTCCGTATTTCCATAAGCCATATAGCTCATTTTCACCATTAAACCCATCTGAAAATCTATGAAGTGATTATACACAAAATAAAACAAGCCTATTATATTCTAATTCTGCCAATATATCCCTTTAAATCCTGAACACTGGACCTTTAAATCGTCATGAGGAGTTTCATGTTATTGCATCTGCATACATGTGATTGCACAACATTAATACACATACACAGTCTTGAGCAAATGTCTCTGACACAGCTCTGATGTAGGAGTGTCATGGTAATCATAATCTTTTTTTTGCTTCTTCAGTGCGGTCATGTTCATCCGCCAATTGCAACGCAATTATGCAAATCACAATCCCATGACACGTTGAGAGTGGTGTTGGAGGCAGGGGGGAGGAGGAGGAGGAGGAGGGGGAGCTTCTATCTGTACCCTCCCTAATGAGATTGATGTCCCACCATCTATCAGTGTGGGAACTGCCAGAGAAGAAGCCCAGTGTGCAGGGACACAGCACATAACTCACAATCTTATAGGCTCTCACCACGGGGAAGGGCGATGAGGATTTAGTTAGAATTTCCCTCTTTCTGTCAAGGCTAACTCTATTTCTCTCTCTGTCTCATCGCTCTTATCTCACTCTCTTTCTCTCACACACACCCGCGCACGCACGCACACACACCGTCTAATATAATCCCTTTCCTGTCTTCTAAAAAGTTGCCCCATTTACACATCCTGCAGGCGCCACAAAAGAAATTTGCAATGAAAAGTTTACCTGGAAAATGTCAGGCGCATTTCAGGACGGATTTATCCCCGCAGTGAAAGGAATTGGTTGTTTGCGGTGAGGCTGGGGCAGAATATAGACATCCTGCAATAAGTGGGTGTTTACTGGCTTTGCAAACGGAGCAGTCGACTCGCAAGTTTCTTGTGTGTGTGTGTGTGTGTGTGTGTGATTTGTTTGAGTTTGCACTTAAATTACGACTCTCTCAGAGCGTTTGTGTAATTACTAGCAGTGAGCGACGTGCCGTCAGACACATTGTCACCGCACGAATGTTGTTATGATGGAGACAGATGGCAATTTGTGAGCAAGCCTTTTCAGTTTCTCTTCATATCCAGGCCTCTTTTTCACACACGCGTGCACGCTCACATACCACACAGACAGCCACAGCACGGAAAAAACCTGTGAACTTTAAAGATGCTGCGCTCATCTATAGAGTCAATGCCGCTGTGACTTCATTTATAAAAGCTGAATTTTATATCCTAGTATTTATTGTCAGACTGGAACTGTGCAATGTGTTGAGGCGGAAGCAGCAGAAGCAATTTAGTATAGAGTAATTACAGTAATTAGGCCATTAAAGATATTTTTCTTCATTTCCTTTTCCATTACCTCTTGTCAATCTCCTCTTTTTCCACTGTCATCCCCGCAGCAGACGAGCCTGGCAAGGGAGTGCGGGGCTTCACGCGAGATCCGACTCAGCTGCAGGGCTCCATGCTGCAGACAGCACTCAGAAAAAGCCCCCAGGGTTTTGGGTTCACCATCATCGGAGGAGACCGACCAGACGAGTTCCTCCAGGTCAAAAATGTACTTCCGGATGGGCCTGCTGCGCATGACAACAAGATCGCCTCAGGTAGGGTTCCCGCCACGAGCCTACTGTTTATTAAAGTGCACTCCGGCGTCAGCTGTTCAACGCCATACGACGTGCCTGCAATGCAAAGTCACACGAGGAGGAAACGCTAGAAGGAAGAGTTACGTGGAGACAAATAGGCTTTTATTACTTGTCTAAACAAAACGTAATCCAGAGTCACATTCACGTGTGTGATGTTTGCATGGCATGTACGCCTATGTACACAGAGACACTCGGCTTGGCATCAGCCCTACGTACTGTACATAATACAGTTTTATGTACCCAGAGTAAACACAAACAAACAGAGGAGAAAAAACACCAAACAGGCTCTGTGAATGTCACATTGCTCGATCAAGCTGAGGCAAAAGTTTATAGTTTACAGTGTTCAGTGGAGCAGCTCTAAAAAAGGACACTTCTGTCAATAAAGCATGTGTCCAGTTTACGGTGACACACAGATTTTATACGCAGCCGTATATCACAGGTTTAATAGGCCTGCAGAGCGGGCGTCTTTCTGTGGACTGCTTATCTGCATCATGTGCACATGTAGCACACACAGACATTTGTGTCACATGTAGCTTTGCAAGTCTGCTTTCTATAAACTCAGTGTAGGAGCACCCGCATCCCAGCGGCTCCCATTTATTGTATGTGTTAATATCACTTGCATGGTGATTGGAGATTATGGGTGTGTCAGTATCCTGGAATTTGTGATAACTGTGACATTTAAAAATGAAATATTGATATCACGTTAATAATAAATTTTGTGTAAATAATCCGGCACCTATTAAAGGTCCAGTGTGCAGGATTTAGAGGGATCTATTGGCAGAAATGGAGAAGAGCATTCATGACTCTGTCTTCTTTAGTGTATAATCACCTGAATCTAAGAATTATTTTGTTTTTGTTACCTCAGAATGAGCTGTTTACCAGTTCAGACCAATGATTTGCGAGGAGATGAAACGGTTTTAGAACATTACAGAGAAGAGTTGCAGCGGTGTGAACTGACCAGTCTGAGCTGGACTCAAGCCGGCTGATGGTGTCACCTGCAACTCAGCTGATCAAATCGCCAGCAGCTGGTTTTAAAGCACGTCACCTGCTTCTATAGCTAGTCGGCTTGTAGTGAAGTCTGCTGGTCAAGTCAGAATGACCGCAGATGGCATGTTGCGGCAGGTGCTCGGTCCCCACTCTGTTTCTGTCCTCACGATGTGCCAGCGTATTTATTATGAACACAGTCCATCAGATACTCGTTTTGTTTCTGTTTTTCACCGTTTTATCACTACTACAAATGCAGCTGTAGCCAGTATCTCACTATCACGACTCTAATTCATATTTTAAGAAGCTACAAATTATATTCAGCCACTAAATAAACCTGAAAAGCTGCAAATCAGAACAGAAGTACAGAGAGTTGTTGCATAGAGATGATACACTGTCTCATCTAGTTGCACTGGTGTGACCCAGCAGGTTTTTAGAACGTTGCAGAATGGCGTGCTGCAAGTAGTTGCCTGTTTCAACTCGTCTCGTCTGAAGTTTCAGTTGGTTGCAATCTGCAACCTCAACACTAGATGCCACCACATCCCACACACTAGAGCTTTAAATCATTTCCATTTTTTGCTGTTCTCCCAGTGCCATCTGGTTGCCTTTTCACTGTCCATCGAACAAGCAGTGTTAGATTTTAGGGGGATTAAGTGGCATCTAGTGGTGAGGATTACAAATTGCAACCAGCTGAAACTTCTCCTGATTAGAATTTCTTCAATATTCACTGTTCAGGAGGTTTTTACCAGGAGATGAATTATCCACAGAGGTCTGTTCCTCTCCAAAACAAACACCAAGTGATTTAAAACAGTAAAAACATTAAATAAAGCAGGTTCACATGTAAAAAAAAATGTGTTTTTCTGACGCTGCTCGTTGTGGAGGGGCTGCTGACTACAGTGGCTGATGCGAAAACATGAATGGCCCTATGTAGAGCAAGTGTTTGGTTTGTCTGTTGGTGCACTCCGTGGATGAACACCAGCTCCCTGTGTAGATATAAACAGCTCATTCTAAGGTAACGAAAACACAACAATATTTATTTTCAGGTGATTATACACTAAAGAAAACAGACTTCGTTGAATCATATTCAGTTTCTGCCAATATATCCCTCTAGATCCCACACACTGGACCTCTAAGTGTAATTGCTCTTTTCTAACATATTTGTACAGTTATGGTTACAGACTCTCTGTCGGCCACATAATCTTATCGTGTCGAAAATCTGATATTCTTCCAGCCATAATTTGAATTACTGTTAGTGAAGTGCTTCAGGATTCACATTACACTTATATTGATTGTACTGAATGCTCTTACTGCGACACCAGCGCTGCTGCTGAGAATCAACATGGAAGTGGAACAGGGAGAGTAATTATTTTCAATGTTTCATTTCCCTTGAGAAGGAGGATAATTGATTAAACCAGAGAAATGAATGTAATTAATTTCATTGCGCCCACTGAACTGAAACTTCATGTAACCTTCTTCCGGATTTAAGACTTTCTGACTGCTGCGCCTCGAGCATTTATTTATGCTATGAGTCCAGTGTTTTAAGTTTCTGAGACTCTTATCTTTTACCTACATTACCAGTGTTGTTTTATGGATGCTGAGTCGTTAGATAAGTCATTAGAGGTACGTGGAGTGGGTTCTGAGCAGGCACTACATCGGGATATGGAGCGCTGTGTTTGCTACTGTAGGAGAGGGTATTGATTGTGTAGGCGGGCTGAATCCTCCACTGGGCTTTTAGCCAACTGGCCAGTCAGCAATTCAGCCGACCATCCAGGCTGATATCTCAGCCGGGGCAGGGGTGATGAGAGTCACCCCCCTCTTATAGGGAGATGAAAGGAGGAAGAGGAGAGCGGCATGTCAGTGATCTTGTTCTATTTTATACTCGCGCTCCTTCTCTCCGTCCCCATTAACATCCTTGAGTTTTATCAAGGGTCGGACAGAGGAGGAGAAACAGAGATTTCACTTACAGTATGCAGTCCAGATAATTATCATTTAATTTAGTGGGATAACAGCCACATTAGTATTGTACATCTTTACATATGCCTCAGTGTACTGCAGAGCTGCAAGCACTTATCGATGAGCTGTCAACAGGGTTCCCACACATCTTTACCAATTAATTTTCAAAAATTTTCTGTAATAATTTACCCGATTTCTATGAATCTATTAGGTAGTTTGAAATATAGGCCTATAGAGTGATCTCAGGGTGCGATAATGGGCTCTTAATTATGTATGCTCGCCATAAAACAGGAATTATAGCAAAGATGTAACGTAGATATGTTATGGAGCGCCTTTATGTCTACACATACACAGGCCATATCTGGCCTCGCTACGACAGACGTAAAACATGCTGATGCTGGCAGCGTGTTGAGCAGCCTTTTGGGTGTCTTGATGCTTTTTGTCTTGGCAACAAATTTGACCAATTTTAGCAACAGTAACAAGACAAGACGCTGTTAATCAGGAAGTACTCGTCTGAAGACATTGGCACTTTATTATCGTCTCGCTGAGGACATTGGGACTTTGTTATTGCGTGTTTAGTTTTTTATACTCTTTGGGTCCTACTGATCCCAGATAGCTAGGAGAAATTAAAAATGCATACTTAGCAAAAGCTCAGGTCACAGGAGGATATAATATTTGTTATTTGAAAGCCATACATTATAAACACTCAACTTTCCCAGGCATTTTCCGATAAGCAAACTGCTAGCGCGTGCTAACTTACTAACTACTGTGGCAGTTTCAACAGTCACGCAGTGCACCACTTGATTTTAAAAAAGTGATACAAGGAACATATTTTGCACAGAGTTAGCAAAGTTTGGGGATTTTTATGAACATATGTTAAACAATATCCAACGCAATCTATATTCAAAACTTTTCCAAAACATTCTGTTAGTGCCAAACCATTTGCAGGTTTTTCTGTTTCATAATATTTCCAGGAATTTCATGACCTGTGTCAGCTGTTAAATTAATCGTCAACTAATTTGATAATCGATTAATTGGTTTAATTTTTCAAGAAAGATTCCATGTTCTTAAATGTGAATATTTTCTGGTTTCTTCACAACAACTTATCGACTAATCGACAATGAAAATTATCGTTAGTTGCAGCCTTAGTGTGGTGATTTCGTTAACACAGTCCCCACCGTCATTCCACAAAATGTGTAACAGCTCGTTGTTGTTTGTAGGTGACGTGATCGTGGACATCAACGGGGCGTGTGTGCTGGGGAAGACTCACGCTGATGTGGTGCAGATGTTCCAGTCCATCCCCATCAACCAGTACGTGGACATGGTCCTGTGCCGCGGCTACCCGCTGCCTGAGGACTCCAGCAGCAGTGAGGAGGCCTCAGGAGGCCTCTCCACCTCCAAGGACACTTCCCCTTCCCCCTCCACCTCCACACCACAGGACCCGCACTACACAGTCCCAGATGGAGGCACCCTCCCCAGGCAGACCGCTGCAGTACTGCCCATGATCAACGGAGGACGCCATCACCACCATTCTCACCAACACCACCACCACGTTCCTCACATCCCCAACCAAGAAGGCCCCGATCCCACTCTGTTGCAGCCGGAGCTTGTGAGCGTGCCCTTGGTGAAAGGTCCTGGAGGTTTCGGCTTCGCCATTGCAGATTGTCCCCTGGGTCAAAAGGTGAAGATGATCCTGGACGCCCAGTGGTGCCGCGGTCTGTTGAAGGGTGACGTCATCAAGGAGATCAACAGGCAGAATGTCCAGACGTTGAGCCACTCCCAGGTGGTGGACATCCTCAAAGACCTGCCTGTGGGCAGCGAGGTCAACGTGCTGGTGCTGAGAGGAGGTGAGTTGGCAGAAATGTGTCACACTGCAGCCGCAGGTAGAGCCTTAATCCTTAGAGGTATGTCGCAGCTGGCAGGGTTACAGTGCTGACGCTGTGACATCTCTTTTGTTAACTCGCTGCTGTCTGTATTAATCTGCTCAGGTTACTGTTCAGAAAACAAACAGGTGTTAGTGCCCAGAGATAGTCTGGAGCTTTTAGTCCCACGCTTGTGAAATCATTTAAATCCCCACACAGCTTTGTGTCACCTGCAGCCTGTCTGTCTCTTACTTTCCATTTCCCAAAAGGAAATAATGAATGAAACAACAGAGGTGACAAGCCCACCTGCTAGTGTTTGAAATTAATTTCTTAAAGGGATACTGTTCAGATGTTCTGCCAAGTTTTTTATCATAGCAATGTGGGCACTATGTGTAAATGAACTATGTGAAGTTTCTCTCCATCTTGCCAGCGCCCACATGGCGTCATAAGGCAGAATTTTGCTGGCTCTGGGGCTGTTGCTCAAACTACAGATACGTAATTATGCATTAGAAAACACATTAGAAAACAAAGAGTATCAAAGCAGATAAACTAAGTAGTGCTGATAAAATATGAACCAAGATTCTGTCACTGTGTTGCCTATTTCTCACCCAAAATGTTTTTTTTGTTGTTTTGTTTTTTGTTTTTTTAGCCTACTTTTTAACTGTAAAACAAAATCGTTTGGTACCAGCCTGCCACCATATTGTTTTCGGGGGGGCTTAGATCGGGCATGTTCTGTCCGAGCCCGGCCCGTCCCTTTAATTGTAATTACGAGCCCGAGCCCGGTTGAAACCCGCCATTTTTTTAAGGATACGAACGTGGACATTGAAGGCTGACTCTCGTCTTTCTTTCCATGGCAAGCCTTTGTCATGTGCCTGTTAAGTGTCGAGGTCCCCGTCTCTCTGTGCTGTGATATACCAGCATCGGTCTGCACTTGGTATACTCAACGAAGCCGACACACACATTGTCACCGTTGACAACTCGTGTGGGGCCAGTGGCGCCGTCAAGGGCCCCCCCCCCAGGTGTGATAAGTAGTTGGTTCCATAGCCTAGGTCTATTATGAGGAGCCCAACCAGTCCGAGTACGAGGATGGTGGTGGGAAATTACAGCCCGACCCGGCCCATGGGTCGGGTTGGGTGTGGGTCGGGCTCGGGCTCGGGCAGAGGATCTAAGCTCTAACCTACATCTAAATAGTAGGGGTGGGACCATGATGTTTTGCAAGTCTTTGCACGCAAGTCCCAAATCAAGACTGACACGTCCTGATTCAAGTCCCAAGTCCTATCTGCAAGGAGACAAGTTGAAACAGGCAACTACTTGCAAAGCTCCGTTCTGCAACGTTCTAACAACCTGCCAGTTCACACTAAAGCCTGATTTATGGTCCTGCGGCGTACCTACGACGTACCTACGTCGTTGCCGTGACGCCGTCGTGAACCCTTTGAACTTCTCCGTCACTCCGTTTTGTCGCGGTGCAATTCACCGCCAGAGCGATAGGAGGCTGCGTTCCTTTCCTGAATGGTTATCGTCGTCTCTAGTTGATTCTTTGTTTAGCTTCCAGCTTTTCCAGTCACAGAGAAATGAACGTATCCGTATCCGTATTGAACGTTGAGCATAAATGGGCCTTAGTACTGCAACATCTACATCGCAGCAGAAGATGTTTAAAGATGGCGGGGATGGCGCAATCTGGAAATACGGAACCGGAAATGCGTTGCTACCAAGCAAACCAATCACAGCCCTCTCGGTCTGCACTGGGTCTGCGTTGCCTCGACGTGTGGTGACATTTTTGGGGAGGTGCACGTCAGGCTACGCCAGGGGCTACGGCGAGCCTTCTGCGTAGCCACATACCCTACGAAGTAGCGACGTCGTTGATTTAACGCAGGACCATAAATCAGGCTTAATGCAACTAGATGAGACAGTGTATCATCTCTATGCAACAACTCTCTGTACTTCTGTTCTGATTTGCAGCTTTTCAGGTTTATTTTGTGGCTGGATATAATTTGTTGCTTCTTAAAATATGAATTAGAGTCGTGATAGTGAGATACTGGCTACAGCTGCATTTGTAGTAGTGATCAAACGGTAGAAACAAAACAAGCATCAGATGGACTGTATTCATAATAATACACCACAATATTATAAATAACCGGCACCAATTAGTGAGTCAATGAGAATGTGTGTGTGTGTGTGTGTGTGTGTGAGGGGCATTGGCAGCAGCAGCAGCAGCAGCGACCCACCATTCGATGCCGGCACACGTGAGCACAGAAACAGAGGGCTCAGCGGGGATGGAGCACCTTCTGCAACAAGCAAACACACCGTCTGCGGCCATTTTGACTTGACCAGCGGACTTAACTACAAGCCGATTGGCTGTAGAAGCAGGTGACGTGCTTCACGCTCCAAAACCAGCCGCCGGCGATTTGACCAGCTGAGTTGCGGGTGACACCATCAGCCGGCTTGAGTCGAACTCAGACGGCCAGTTCACACCGCTGCAACTTTTCTCTGCAACGTTCTAAAACGGTTTCATCTTGTCGCTGCTCTTTGGTCTGAACTGGGCTTAAAACACAGACATGACTGTTAAGAAAAGGTGGTTATATATAAAAAGCAGCAATGACTAGCAATAAAAATGTATTAAAATTGCAAATGTCTGTGTACAATTCAAGTGTTCTGCTGGAATTTAACTACACACTTGAGAAAAAGCAAATGCCGCAGCCATTTTCAAAGTGTTTATGTCTCTCTTTGGCATATACAGTCCAGTTTTTTTAAAAGACCGTCTTTCCAGCAGTGAAATACGTCTTTAAGAGAGAAAGCAACATTGTTATACAAGCGCTGACAAAGGTCGACTCAGTTGAGGCGAGATGTAGTGTAACACGTAGCGCGTTTTAATTTATAAATAACAGGTTGGATCGTGGTTTTCTGGAGGTATTGCTTGGGCACACAGATTGTCCCAATGTTAAATAAAGCAATTTCACGCTCCGGTCCACACCAACTCTGCATCACCCACCGTGCACCTTCCCAAACAGGGAGGAAGTCATGCTTAGTCACATGGTGAGCTGTGCTGGGAAGGCGAGGAGAGATGGCAGTCTCAGTGATTCACTTGCTGCTCAGAGAGAAAGAGAGAAGGAAGGGAGGAGAGGCAGAGCATGGTGGGTAATCATTGCCCTTCTTCTCACTCTGGGCTCTCAGCGACTTGAAGGGCTTGTTCCTTTTTGTCTTTACTGCAGTGCAGTAGCCTAGATTCCAGAGATCAGTGTTGCACCCACATATCAGATGCACTCAGCTGGGCTCTGCTCGCAGCTCCAGGGGCTTGTCCTGTGTCTGCGTGTGTGCTGCTGTTATTAACTTCTCGCCCAGTTGTGCCAGCCTTATATGTATTTCTTTTTTTTTTTGCGCGTGCATATGCATCATGTGTGTGTGTTACTGCTTAAAAAGGGGCAGAAGATCACAGCTTTCCAGGACTAAAAGGAGCATCGCTGCAGGGCTTCCCTCAAGTCACCAATAAACCAGGATTAGGTTAGGCTTTGCTCCCAGCCAGAGGCTACAACTCCCTCCTGATGACAGCAGCAGCAGAGAGAAATGAAACAGGAAATTATTTGGCCCTGATCCCTGTTCTGGATTTAAATCTGGAAATGAGACACAGTCCCCTTCCCCGTGGGATATGTACTGCAGTCAGTGCTTATGATATCAAATGAGCAGGGAGATATCATCAGTAGTTCTGCGTCACTACTATCTGAAAAGGAATTAAATCAAACAGAGTAATGTCTCCTACACATTTATTCATTCAGCAACATTCATTAAATCATTTACGTAATTCTGTTGATGACACTCACAAACTGGTTATTAGAAGCTGCAGAGTGAGAGTGCGCACTGTGGCAAACAGCTGGCAGGTTTAACCCAGAGAAGTGCATGTTTCCCATGGCCTAGGGTCACCTCTGTGTCTCCCACCCTGTGGTGACATGCAAACCATCTCTGCTACTGGAGTATACTGGCCCCTACTGGTGGAGTTACACCGTGATTCACTGGCAGAGAGGAGAGCAGAGCCAGGTATTAAAAATCAGTTTGGAAACCTGAGGCACTGAATTCTGAAAGACTTCGAACGAGGTGCAGAGAACGTCTGCATAAAAAGATGGAGAGGAGGTTCACTCTTAGAAGTAAGGGTTCTTTCTGAGGGGATGGTTCTACCCAGACACATTTGCGCACAAAGAACCCCTTTTTGAAGAAACAACTCTTCAAGGGTTTTTTGTAAAGGTAAGGGTTGAAGTAAGAACCCTTATTTGGAAGAAAGAGTTCAAGCGTGGGTTTTCAAAGATCCTCACTCTCAGATATCCAAATGTTTACATGTTTCAGATGATATTTTTAAATATTTATTTATCTGAAAACATGTGTTCTGCCGTAGTTTCTTTACCATCATTTTATGTCATACAAGCCCAGTTTTGGTTCCCAACCCTGCCGCACCTGAAACAGTAAAGGTAAATCAATCTGGCACTGAATTTCAAGGGGGACTGATTATACTGTCGGTGTATTCTCAATGCATTTGATTAGAAACATATTTTTACGGTGTTTGAAGAGAAAGTCCCGCACACTGCTCTCGATCAGTTTCACAATTTATTCATAACACTGACTTTTCAGTCCTCCTGGACCTTCGTCACGAGAGTTCAACACCATTATTACACCATTACAGTGAGCTTAAATAGAAACTGCTCTACCCATTTCACCCATTGTATTTAAGCTCAGTGTTGTGAGTAATGGTGCTGAACACTCTTGACAAAGGTCCAGTACAGTAGGACTGAAAAGTTTGTGTTACTAATACATTGTGAAGTTGAGCAAGAGCAGTGTGCTGGATTTTCTGTTCAAAGACTCAAGTGATATTTTCAAACATTTCTGCATCTGAGACAGTTGGATGTGTGAATATCTTTCTGCAAACAAATTGGATGCGAGAGTGAAAAACAATGCAGCAACATAGGAATGTAGGCACATGCTTTTAAAGAGGACGTGGAAGTTTAGAAAGAAAGAAAATTCCATGACTTTTCCGAAACTTTAAATGATTTCGACTAATTTCACGACTTTCCAGGCCTGGAAAAATGAGTCTGTGAGATAACTTTTCTAGGTTTTCCATTCCTTTGGGAACCCTGTCTCATAGAAGGGTTCTAGGTGGAACCTTTCACAGATGGTTCGAGGTGTAGAGGCCAAAATACCGGCGGCAAATGGCGCGTGTCAAAAAATAAACTGTCCTATTATTGCGTTTTTCCCCACTCGCTCTGCTTGTACATACCAACTCCCGTAGGAGCTCGACTTCTCTCCTCACCACTGATGTATAAAGAGAACTCTGTAGCTGTTGCTGTGTCTTGAGTGTGACGAAGAATGGATGAGGAGAGACTCGTTGAGGTTGAGAAATATCCCGAGCTAAACGACCCACGATCTCGTCTTTATAAAGATAATGTCCAAAAAGATATTACCTGGCGAGTCACAGCTCTGGAGATCGGCTCTTCAGGTGAGAAGTCAAGTTTAATTAGTGAGTGTCCACACGAGGTGGAAGAGGTGCAGATCTTTCAGTAACAACAACTTTGTGTGGTCAAGTCTGTTGACGAGCTGCAGCGAGACGCATCCAGTATGTGCTGGGGTGTTTGGTTCTAGGTAGCAATGGTCCCAGACTTCAAATATCTTGGGAGCATCATCTCCGAAACCTGCAGCATGGACAATGATGTCCAAAACCAGATAAGGGCTGCCTCAGCTTCCTTCGTTAGGCTGCGCAAGAGGGTTTTCCTGAATAAGGAGCATACAGACCAAGGTTGCAGTCTACCAAGCTATCTGTGTCTCCACTCTACTCTATGGCTGTGAAGCGTGGAGTCTGTATCGCCGTCACATCCATCAGCTGGAGAACTTCCACATCAAATGTCTCCAGCCCATCCTCGGACTAACCTGGCGCAACCGTGTACCACACACAGAAGTCCTGAAGAGAACTGGTACCAAGAGCATGGAGGCCACTTTTCTTCAATACCAACTGCGGTGGGTTGGCCACACCATCAGGATGACAGAGGACAGACTTCCACGGCAACTGCTGTATGGTCAGTTACGCCATGGTCAGCGATCTGCAGGAGGTCAAAAGCGGAGATACAAGGACCAGCTCAAAACAATGCTCAAGAAGTGTGGGATACAGTACACACAGCTGGAAAGCACTGCCACGAACCGTCCTCTCTGGAGGAGACTTTGCTGGCATTCAACACCTGGAAGAGGAGAGGAGTGAGGCGAGGGAAAGGAAGTGCCAGGGGAAGAAGATGATCACTGCAGCCAAGGCGACAACAATTACTGACTTCATATGCCCTCACTGTAATAGACCTTGTGGCTCACGCATTGGACTTCATAGTCACCTCAGGACTCACCAGAAGAAGAAGTAGAATGTCATCATCGGATACGATGGACTACCATAAGCAAGTAAGGATCTAGGTAGAACCCTCTGAATGGGTTCCAGGTTGCACAGTTGTAAAAGATGCTACCTGGAACCAAAAAGAGTCCTCTTATGGGGACAAGAAGAATCCTGTGTGGTTCTTGTTAGCACCTTTGTTTCTAAGAGTGTAACTGTGATGCTGAGGGTCAACAGGTCAGCAGAGTGAGTAAAGATGCAAAGTACAGCTCCTCCTCTAAGCCTTTAAGCCACATGCCTACACAGATGTCTATTGTTGTCCTCCTATGTAATTGTATTCAGACTGTAACGTCCACCTCTACCTCTCCTCTTACAGGTCAGACGTCTCCTGTGAAATCTCTAAAACCAGTAAGTTGATCTTTGTAATGTTTCCTCCATTTCGCAGCACGAAACAAACACTGATGATAAAACTGCCACTGAATTATTCAAAAGAAAAAGGTTTTAACTTGGTTACCCGTGAGCACCGCTCACTGTGTGTGTGTGTGCTGTGGAAGCTGTTGTTAGCTACATTATTCAGTGAGCCCACATTAGCCAGGCTGTTATTTCTGGAACTGCATGTGGGTAAATATGCTGGCTCCTGGCAAACAGCAACTTAACATCCCCCTGCGTATGGGTGTTTAAGATGATATGCCATGTTCAACAGCTTGTTCCTGCGCTGCTCCTCCATGCCGCACTCTTAAAATAGCGAGGAGCAGCAACAGGCTTACTCATACTGTTTTATTGGTTCAACATGGAATTACAAATGTGTGGTTGCACTGTTTTTAGAAATTAAGAGGTACTTTTTGAATCAGCATTCTGGAGGGTAAGCCCACCTTGAATACACTTTCCTGCCTCAGCTACATTTCTATCAGAGACATTAAAACAGTATGTACAATAAGGGATTGATTTTTGTGGTCAGTTATGGACCTGAATACATCACAGCTCTTGTTTCTGTGTTGCAGTGCACGGCTCCCATGTCCCAAGCCATAACCCAGCCAACTCCTCAACCGGCTCCTCATCCCACCCCCCAGCAGCTGCCCCATCCACTCTCTCAGCCCATCACACAGCCGCAGCGACAGGAGATGATTAACAGCACAGAGGCCCTCGGTCAGCCCGACGTGGCCCCCAACCCGCTCCCTTTCCCTACCAACACGCTGCGCTCGTCTTCACCCAAACCGGACGCGTCTGAGCTCTACCTCAAGTCCAAGGCTTTGTTGGACAGCAAGCGTAAGTGCACGTGATGTAATGCATGAAGGGTCTCAGCCGCTGTAGCTCAGGATGCCTGTTGGAAAACAAAGGTCCTCCATCCTCCTCCTCCTCCTCCAGGGCATTTTATCTGACGAAGGAAAGCTAAAGATCTCAGTTATCCTGGCAAGATATTCATTATTTGAATCAAATATTTCTTAAACTAACTAAATAATTTCAGACATCCCTGGCCTTGATCGCAGGCTGAGACCACTGCATTATACAAAACACACACTGCCCACATGCCAAACACACAGACAGCATAATAAATGTCTTTTGTCTTTCATGACAGTTGTAAATTAAATCCTGTCTCCCCTCTCTGCAGCTCCTAACACAAAGGACCTGGATGTGTTCATCAAAAGGAACCAGGAGTCGGGCTTTGGCTTCAGAGTCCTCGGAGGCGAGGGGCCGGATCAGCCGGTAGGTATCAGCCCGGCACGGTCCAGCCGTTTACAACCAGGCTTGACGTGCTGCTGGAATCCCAAACCCTCAGATACTATTAAAAAAAAAAAAAAAAAAAAGCAGTCAGGCAGCAAGCGAATCAATATTTGAGCTGCGTTCAGATAAATTGTGGGAATATCTGCTCTTGCTGCAGGACAGTAGGGAGAAAAACTGTATTTTGCACATAGGAAATGAGGCATCAAATGCTCAAAGCAACTTGAGAGGATTTCAACTGTTTATTTACAATAACGCCGGTCAGTCCTCGTGCTCACTCCGGCTCGGATCAGTGTGTCAAGCTGTTTCTCTCACTTCCTGTTGGATGAGAAGGAACGTATTGAAGCTCAGCGGAGTCCCTGCTCACCCTATCCAAAATCCAAAACACCCACACATCATCACTGACAGCTTCCCTGTATCCTTCTCCAGCCACGTCAAGAGTCTTGGTGTCATTCTTGACAGCAGACAGACCTGGACAGACCTGTATCAGGAAGTCAGAGCTAGTTAAAGGCTAAAGTGAACAGATACGTTTATAGCTTTCTTTTTAAAATATTTAGCGAGCTAGCTTCCCTGATATCTGGAGGTAGTTTGTTCCATAGCTTTGGCTGCATCCCTAATCTTCATCCGGCTCTTTCTGGGAACCTCCAATAAACCAGCAGGAGATGATCGCAGTGTTCTTGGAGGCAAATAGTTAACAAGGAAGTTAGCGATGTAGCTCATGTAGGGCTTTGTATACAAGGAGGAGGAGCTTAAAATCAAGTCTGAATGCAACAGGAAGTCAGTGCAGAGCAGCGGAGACTGGCCTGACATGCTCTCTCCTCTTGGTTCTGGTTCGTAGCCGAGCTGCAGAGTTTTGAATGAGCTGAAGCCTCTCAGTGGTGTTTTTTCGGAGGCCAGTAAAAAGTGCGTTACAGTAGTCGAGTCGGCTTGAAATAAAGGCGTGAATCAATTACAAATGGTCGTACCATGGCGATGTTTCTGAGGTGGAAAAATTATGTTTCCGTCACCTTCTTAATGTGGGACTTGAAGCTTAGATCTAAATCAGATATCACAATCCAGGGAGTTAAAGTCCCCAGAGTTTTGTTTTAGGGCCAACAAGCAGGATTTCAGTTTTGTCTTTGTTTAACTTTAAGAAAGTATTGCTCAGCCATTTATTTATTGCCAAAAGACAGGTAGTAATGAATCGACCATAAAAACCCTCTGCTCACCTTCAAAGCCCTCTACAACCTCGCCGCCACTTCCCTGTCTGTCCTTCTCCAGGAGTAACCCCTCCCCTGCTCCCTGCGCTCTTCCCCTGCTGGTCTCCTGACCACTCCCACCTCACGCCTCAGCTCCTCGGGCGCCAGGGCTTTCAACCACACTGCCCTAAGGCTTTAGAACTCCCTACCTCCACACATCCGACAGTCTGACAGCATAACATGCTTCAAATCCATCTCAAAACCCACCTGTTGATGCTGGCTTATGCACTCTAACACTGACTGTGAATCTTTTTTTTTTTTTTCTTTTTTTTTTGTAGAATTCAAATTTTTATTGATTTTGGTTCGGTTGGTACATGACACACGTCAAATGAGACAATCAATCTTGACTAGAGATCCGTACAGGAGGGGGCACAGCACCAGCTTCAATTAAAAAATAATCAAAATAACAAAGTTAAAGTTGAATAAATAAACACATTAGAATTGATAGTGATCATATTTTTTTTTTAAATGGAAAAAATACAAAAAATAGGCAGGGCAAGACAAAACAAAAACCACACTCCCAGACAGTGCAGAATAATTCCAAAAATTCCCCCCAGATTGGTCTATGAGCCGATTAGTCATCCTGGTCAGCATGGATTTGTAAGAGGCAGTTTTTGTCATATAGTTGACCCAGTCTTTTATTTTTACTTACTTTCCCCCAATAAACACAGTCTTGGAGACACTGGCAATGTCTTACTGAGCCACTGACTGTGAATGTAATTGATTTTATCACAGCGTGTGTGTGCCCACCTCTCATCTCTGTATTATATACTCTGTAAGGTGACCTTGGGTGTTTTGAAAGGCGCCTTTTAAATAAAAATGTATTATTATCATCCTTTCGTCTCCACAGGTGTACATCGGCGCCATCGTGCCGCTCGGTGCAGCCGAGAAGGACGGGCGCCTGCGGGCAGGGGATGAGCTGCTGTGTATAGACGGCGTGCCAGTTAAGGGCAAATCCCACAAACAAGTGCTGGAGCTGATGACCAACGCCGCCCGCATGGGCCAAGTCATGCTCACAGTCCGCAGGAAACTGACACACTCAGGTGGGTCTGTTTGAATAATCAGGACTGCGTCTCTCTGAGAGCACTCAGAGGTTTTAAGCACAGCTTCTTGTTTTCACTCCTTTTGTTTAGATCAGCATGCTGGAGGAGGACCTCTGAGCTACAGCTTTGATCTGGGATTTCTTTCTCACTAATCCTTTTAAATTTGTTTTGGATGACTTCCTCGCAGATAAATCTGAGTAACTCAAGTTCAACCAAAATTGACTTTTAGGGTCTGTGTAAACATTTTCCCTGAAAAGAAAGTTTTTAAGGAAAAACTCTTTATTTACTTTAATCACAGAGAAGTGAATAAAAAACATTTTATCCACCGATATTGGAGAAAACAGCCAAAGTGGCTTTGCGGTGTTTATCTGTCGAGGCTGATGGGAGCTGTGTGAAGGGCAGTGGAGATTAGATCAGCTGGTGGAGTTGATTTACATCTCAAAGGATGAAAAAAACAAGAATATGCTGAGTTTTCTTTTTCAACAGCACAAACCCCTGCTGCATTCAGGTTTGTTTACCCCCACAAATAACCGCTCCGTGAATAGTAGCAGCACTTTTTGAAATTACTTTGGATTTGATGTATCGCAACAACAGCTTTGATCACGTTGCAGAAATTAAGCATCAATCATGTAAGGCTTTATGCTTTCAAAGCAGGGCTTTAGAAAGAGATTCCCTGATGCCGGCTGACAAAACAGGGACTCAGCAAAACAAACATACAATGAAGAGAGATTGAGGTAGATCAGCCTGTCCTATGAATAACAAATTGTAAAGGGCTTTTTCTTCTCAAGTGTAGAGTTGACAGTCTTGTATTTCATGTGTGCAGCAGAAAGGGTGTCTTCAATAAAGCCGTCGTGCTTTGGATTATTTTTGGAAGGATCTGAGGAAGGAGGATCTGAAGGATCTTTTCACAGATATTGAAGTGTGTGTCAGCTAAATCAGAATGACCCCCGCTCAAAATAAACATTCCTGTTGTCCTGTCGGTGTAAGTGATGAATTTTAATGAGCTGACCTCGTCCTTTCAAAAACAATGGAGAATGCGAGCGGAGCTGTTCCACATGCGTGACTGTAAACATTCCCCTCGTGTCTCTATGTCCTTTGTCAGATGGTGAAGAGGAGGAGAGCGGTCAGCAGCCGCAGCAGGTAGCGTCCGCCCTGGTCAACAGCTCTCCTAAGATGTCTCGTGGCGAGGCTCAGAACGCCGTCCAGCCCGCTCAGCCCTCTCGGCCAGAGTGCTTTGATGTCACACTGCAGCGCAAAGACAACGAAGGCTTCGGCTTCGTCATCCTCACGTCAAAGAACAAGCCCCCGCCTGGAGGTCAGAAACAAAGAAACACATCACATATACTACTTTTTAAATATCAGGTTATATCAAGCGTGTCATTATATATCTGCTAAACGTCAGAAGTAAACACTGTCATTGTGAACATGTTAGCATGCTGACGTTAGCATTTGGGTAAAGCACTGTTGTGTCATGGTTCAGCCCCACATAGGGTCATTCCCATGTTCCCAGGGTCATTTGTTTCCCAGATTTATATTGCACATAATTGGAACATAACAAAGGGTCCTATGTCCCCCAGTTCTACATATGTGCTCTCCCAGGGTCCTGTGTTCCCCAGCTTTACATAGCACATAATGGGAACTTAAAAAATGGTCCCCAGCTCTGTAGTCGCTTAATATAATATGGGCTAGGGTAAGGTTAAGGGACGCATGATTCTGAGAGTCCTGAATTGCACTGGACTTGGCCTTAATAGTATGTGCTCTACCCAGTGAGCTGTCAGAGTGCCCCAACAGTTACTCTGTCTGAATGAGGACTAACTCCCAAAGCCCTAAATTTATAACAGTAAAAATTAGTCAGCCAATTAATTAACCAACTATAAGAGAGGAAGAAAAAAAAACATGAAATAATATATGAAATAATTATGAAACAATTAACAAACACAAAAGGAGGGGTAATGTGTGTAAACAGAAAATTGAACTTGGAAACACAGGGCATTTGGAACACAGGACGTTGGACTTTGGGAACATAGAACCAAGGGAACGAATTACACTGGGAACATAGGACTATGATAACAAAGGACCCTGGGAACATAGAATGTTGGGAACAAATGACACTGGGAACATAGGACCAAGGGAACAAATTATATTGGGAACACAGGACCCTGGGGACATAGGATGTTGGGAACTTAGGATGTTAGGAACATAGGACCATAATAGCAAAGGGCCCTGGGAACATAGCATGTTGGGAATATAGGACCCTGGAAACAAATTATACTGGGAACATAGCACTTTGGGAACATATGACTCTGGGAATATAGGATACTGGGAATAAGGACATTTGGAACATAGGACCCTGGGAACATAGAACGTTAGGAACACAGTACCATGATAACAAAGGAGGCTGGGAACATAGGGAGTTGAGAACAAAGGACATTGGGAACATTGGACCTTGGCAATATAGGACCCTGGGAACAAAGAACGTTAGGAACACAGCACCACGATACCAAAGGAGGTTGGGAACACAGAACCCCCGGAGCATAGGATCCTGGGAACATAGGATGTTGGGACCAAATGACATTGGAAACACAGGACCCTGGGAACATAGGACCAAGGGAACAAATTACACGGGAACATAGGACTATGATAACAAACGACCTTGGGAACATAGGATGTTGGGAACAAATGACATTGGGAACATAGGAAGTTGGGAACATAGGACCAAGAGAGCAAATTACATTGGGAACACAGAACCCTAGGAACATAGGATGTTGGGAACTTAGGATGTTAGGAACATAGGACCATGATAGCAAAGGACCCTGGGAACATAGCATGTTGGGAATATAGGACCCTGGAAACAAATTATACTGGGAACATAACACTTTGGGAACATATGACTTCAGGAATATAGGATACTGGGAATAAGGACATTTGGAACACAGGACATTGAACTTTGGGAACATAGGACTCTGGGAACATAGAACATTGAACAAAGGAGAACCATGATAACAAAGGAGGTTGGGAACAAATGACATTTGGAACATAGAACCAAGGGAACAAATTACATTGGGAACATAGGAGGACCCTGGGAACATAAGATGTTTGGAACATAGGACTTTGATAACAAAGGACCTTGGGAACAAATGACATTGGGAACATAGGAAGTTGGGAACATAGGACCGAGGGAACAAATTAAATTGGGAACATAGGATGTTGAGAACTTCGGATGTTAGGGACATAGGACCATGATAGCAAAGGACCCTGGGAACATAGCATGTTGGGAATATAGGACCCTAGGAGCAAAAAAACGTTGAGAACATAGGACCCTGGAAACAAATTATACTGGGAACATAACACTTTGGGAACATATGACTCTGGGAATATAGGATACTGGGAATAAGGACATTGGGAACAAATGATATTGGGAACATAGGACCTTGGGAAAATGGGATTCTGGGAACTTGAGACCCTGGGAATATAAATATGCTCCCGTCTCACACAGCTTGCCTGGCTTTAGTTTTTTAGGCTTGTTATTCTCCATTTTATCTTTGGGTGTTTTCAAATGTAAGACTTGTAAAGACTTTGTAAATGAGTATACCATACATGCAAATGCATAATATACTGAATGCTGTGATCGATACATTGGAATATTGATCTCAGACACACTGTAACCTCCTTATTATTTGAAATTGATGCTCCATCATAACAAACCACATGAACAGGTTGTCATTCCTCTGTGTTTCCGTTTCAGTTATACCTCACAAGATCGGCCGAATCATCGAGGGCAGCCCTACAGACCAAATAGGTCAGATGAAAGTGGGGGACCGAATCTCTGCTGTTAACGGCCTGTCCATCATGGAGCTGTCCCACAACGATATCGTCCAGCTCATCAAGGACGCCGGCAATTCTGTCACTCTCACAGTTGTGCCTGAAGATGGTAGGTTGGCAAAGAGAGTAGTCTCAGTCCTGTGAAACTGATTTCCAAAATGAATTATCAGGTTTACTCTCTGGGAATAAGATAATGTTGATGCACTCTCAAAAGCAGGTTTCAAGGCTGCTTTGTGGCGTCCAATAACACATCACAAGATCTGTGTGCCGTGCTAAATGGGTGTGTTGTATTTATTTTGTTTTCACAGACAGCGCTCCTCCATCTGGAACAAATTCAGCCAAGCAGAGCCCTTCAGCACAACACAGAGCTATGGGCCAACAGCCTCCCAGCTATCCAGACAGGTACACGGATACACACACACACATCCTCCCATACAAGAACAGACACTAACACAAGCTTGTCAGCGTTTCTCTCAAGTCCACTGGAGACAGTCTTAATACAGGTTCTGCCACTTGAACCATAAATTAGCCCCAATCCTCTTAAAGCAGGCTCTGGTTTGAGCTACAATGCGGCCCATTAGCATCTCTTGTGGCCCACGCTTGCCTTGTTATCCAGAAAGACAGAAAATCCCCCCGTGGTCACTGTTTGGATGGCGAAGCCAAGAAAAAAGAGGCAGATTAATAAGGAGTCTCTCTCTTCCTCTTTGATCTTTCTTTTTAAACAAGATTACCTGTGTCAGACTTTTTAATCCATTGCTGCTGCAGCAATTCTCCGCCATAATTTCTCACCCTCGCTCGCTCGGTTTCGCTGCCTATCAGCATGTGTTCCCCCTTCTCCTCATTTAGCCTGTCTGTCCATTCCTCGCCAGCACCCTCCCTCCTCGCCGTCTAATCTCCAACACATGCCTCGGGTCAGCCCAGGCTAGATATGAGCTGAGGTCGTCAGCTTGGCTGCATGGAGTGTGTAAACTCCTCTCCATGCCAGTTCTGCTAAGAACGCCGAGACTCTCGCTAGATAGTGTGTCAGCGAAGCTAAGTTCCCACAAAGGCATTATAATGAGCTCTGCGAAGCATTAAAGTATGCCCCCGTTATCTGCCACTGAACTGTATAAGCAACATGGCTCCTTGAAGGATTTACATAGGTCTGTGCTGTATAATAAAACTAACAGAAAGAGGCTCATGCTGCTGTAATGAAGGCGTGGCGGTTTGTACTGGACGCAGCAGAAGGGGAAGAGAATGAGACTTATATTCTGCTCACTCTCCTCACAATATGTGCTGTGGAGGACACGACACATGCAAGCTAGTGGAGGATTATAAAAAGCACCTTGGACATCACTGAGCACATACATTTTAATGCACAAGTTTCCCCGTGGCAGATAATCCTTCACCTTGAGATTGGTCACAGTATTGGACGCACTTCGTAACAGTTTTTTATTCTCATCTAGTGTTTTCTACACTTTAATGTCTGTTTCACACGTTGTTTATGTGCTGACATTCAGTTCTCCTCTGTGGAACAGACGTTGGGCCGTATTTAAACAATCTATAGCACATGGTGCGAGTGCATTTAGAGCATATACAACCACTTGTGCTGGTTAAATGGTGCGTAATCCTGCTGCAAAGTCAGGCGTCAGGTGCAAGGTTTTTATATTTAGTCCCTCAATTGATCATAGGTGTGTTTTGGGCACAACATGAATTTAGCCAATCAGAGTGTGATTTTCTATTCCCTCTACAAGCCAAATCGCCTGCACCTGGCGCACTGTTAATTACGTGGCTGATTTGGCAAATTGGAGAAGCTAGCGCTTTTCTGCTGAGAGTAATTCAGTAAGCGCAGTAATGTCTCTGCAGCAAATATCGAGGGACATTAAGCCTTTGAAACCTGGAGCCACGTCACTTTTTTTGTGCCGCTTTCAGACACTTTTCGCAAGTTTTTAAACCTTTGAAGCTTGAGCAAATTGTTGTGATATCATTCACAGACATGTAAAAAAGGCAATGAGCAACTCTTGTTTTAGGCCACTACTTATGCTTATTATTATTTATTGCTGTTTCTTGTATTTTTTGTGTCTTTGTATCTTTGTATCTCTTTTTGACTGCTCCAACACTGGAATTTCTCAATTGTGGGATTAATAAAGGTGTTTCTTATCTTATCGAATGAGAAATGTCCCACAAATTGCAAAAAAAATAAAATAAAAAATTAATAAATAATAAATATATAATAATATAAATAAGTAGATTCAGAAAAATATTTTTAAAAATAGGGAGAAAAAGAAAAAAAGCTTGAAAAAAAACTTGATTTATTATTATTGTTTTTACATTTTAAAATTATGTTACACAATAAAAAATAAATGAATAAAAATTCAAGCACTTTTTCCAGGTCATTTCCTTTCCATTTTTTAAACTTTCTTTCTTTGTTTTTTTTTCTTTTTCATTTTACTAATTTACTTGTTTTTACTTTCTCTTTTTTTTACTTACTTTTTGTATGTTTCTGAAGGAAATCAAGTCCATTTGCTCAGTTTTTAAAGGGTTAAAGCAGCTAAACCAAAAACTGTAGTTTTAAACTTAACAGAGGAAACAGAGCTGCTCCTCTTGTGTAAACGTGCACCGAGTTTCTCTTAACGGGCAATCGGACAGCAGCTCTGCATCAGTGACGCATTACTTCACCCACCCACAACCTGTCCGCGTGTCCCTGTGTGTGTAACAAGCAGAGTGTGCATGTGTTGTGAGCCCATCTATGTAGGCGCATCTTACTATCTGCGCCCTTTTCTGTTGGTCAGTGGTGCAGACGCTTTCTGCTGCCACAGAATAACAATGCATCACATCACACCTTTTTCAATCACATCTCTTTAGACCTACACGGCCATGGACGCGCAGATAGGTGAAAGCACATTTGCTACTTACACAATGTCAGTACTGGCCATGAAAATGAAAACTCTATCAGTCTGAAACTAACAATGGCAGTTGCACTGCACCTTGTGTATGCTACAACTAAATATACTTCATAGCTACAGTATGTTGGTGACATTATAATGTGTTTTTTTCTGGGGTAGGAACGGTGACACTGACGTGAGGAACTCTTTCCCACCAAGAGAGATGGGAGCACTCATCACTTCGGGCCCTAAGCAGGTAACACCAAAGCCACACTTACTAAGTGCTTCTTGATTTACAGCACATGGTGTTTGTGATTTACTCCTTCTGCTCTAATGCCAGTTGATCTTTATATATTCTTAACCCGAGGGCTACCCTTGTGTCAAGACATGCTCCAGTCTCAGAGGCTTATTCTTGTCTGTGAACTGCAGGGCTGTTTTGTGGTGGAGCTGGACCGCAGCCAGCGTGGCTTTGGCTTCAGTCTGAGAGGAGGGAAGGAGTACAACATGGGCCTGTTCATCCTGCGACTGGCTGAGGACGGACCTGCTCTCAAAGACGGCAGGATACATGTGAGTGTTTTAAGCTTGTCTGTCTCTGTCCTTCGAATAAACCGAGTAATAATAATACTGCACACTGTTGCATTTTATATTAAAATGATAGGTGGTACTGTTGGGCTTTTTAAAGGCTGACACTGTCGGGCCACAGGCAGCGACTGAGATGTTTTGACTTCACTTTTGAGGAGCTGTCATGCCATCCATCTTTATTATACAGTCTGAGGTACACTCACTGGCCACTTTATTAGGTACACCTTGCTAGTACTGGGTTGGACTGCCTTAATTCTTGGTGGCACAGATTCAACAAGGTGCTGGAAACATTCCTCAGAGACTTTGGTCCATATTGACATGATGACATCACACAGTTGCTGCAGATTTGTCGGCTGCACATCCTCGATGAGAATCTCCAGTTCCACCACATCCCAAAGGTGCTCTGTTGGACTGAGATCTGGTGACTGTGGAGGCCATTGGAGTACAGTGAACTCATTGTCATGTTCAAGAAAACAGTTTGAGATGATTTGAGCTTTGTGACATGGTGCGTTATCGTGCTGGAAGTAGCCATCAGAAGATGGGTACACTGTGGTCATAAAGGGATGGACACGGTCAGCAACAATACTCAGGTAGGCTGTGGTGTTTAAACCATGCTCAGTTGGTACTAAGAAAATCTCCCCCACACCATTACACCACCAGCAGCAGCCTGAACCGTTGATACAAGGCAGGATGGATCCATGCTTTCATGTTGTTTACACCAAATTCTGACCCTACCATCTGAATGTGGCAGCAGAAATCCAGACTCATCAGACCAGGCAACGTTTTTCCAATCTTCTATTGTCCAGTTTTGGTGAGCCTGTGTGAATTGTAGCCTCAGTTTCCTGTTGTTAGCTGACAGGAGTGGCACCTGGTGTGGTCTTCTGCTGCTGTAGCCCATCTGCTTCAAGGTTGGACGTGTTGTTGGTTCAGAGATGGTCTTCTGCAGACCTTGGTTGTAACCAGTGGTTATTTGGGTTACTGTTGCCTTTCTATCATCTTGAACCAAACCCTAGAGATGATTGTGGTTGAAAATCCCAGTAGATCAGCAGTTTCTGACAACCATGCCACATTCAAAGTCACTTAAATCACCTTTCTTCCCCATTCTGATGCTCAGTTTGAACATCAGCAGGTCGTCTTGACCATGTCTACGTGCCTAAATGCATTGAGTTGCTGCCACATTGACTGGCTGATTTGCATTAACAAGCAGTTGAACAGGTGTACCCACTGAAGTTGACAGTGAGTATATGTGTGAATGTCTGTATTCTTACTCCGACAAAGGAGTCTGATTTTTGACACAGAAAGCAGCAATCAGGCGATAAGGGTTTTAAAGTACCTTGACTCTCATCTTAAGCTGTGTCACAGTGTTTGCCGCAGTTCAAACTGATAACCGTGTGAATAAGTGAGCCAAATTAGCGAGCAAAAACACAATGACTTCCCACTGTTTTCGAGAACACTGGCATGCACCTATCCCTTTTACCTCAATTAATGTTCTTCCATCACACCCCAACCTCAACTCTGCTACAACCCCAGGGAAGGTGTGCTTGCAGTTTGAAAACCTCTGAAATTCTGAAAGACCTTCTTGTGTGACATGTTTAGTAACAACAGACTATATCTGCACTACAGGTCGGAGATCAGATCGTGGAGATCAACGGCGAGGCCACCCAGGGCATCACGCACACTCGGGCTATTGAGCTGATCCAAGCAGGAGGCAGCAAAGTTCACCTGCTGCTTCGACCTGGCCAGGGTTTGGTCCCAGATCACAGTGAGTGACTGCTGACAGCCGCATGCATGTACACACATTGTTGCCTCTGCATATAGTTCTACACAGTAGCATATTAACCATACATGTTTCCAAGCTTCTGTATGGATATGCTTGATAGCAGGGTGCTGAGTTTTTTTATTCTCATGCATGTGTTGCAAGCTTCTCTCTTGACCTCTGTCTCTCCTGTCATTCTCTCTACTTCTATCTTGATCTTGTGCTCTTTATCTGCTCCTGTTTTCTGCACTGGCACGGCCGTCTATTTCTACCTATTTATCTTTTCCTCCTATAGGTCTGAACTCTTCTTCCACCCTGTGCTTCTACATGAAACCAGAGCATCACTAAAGGCCTCACTGCTTTTCTTGGTCTGTCCCTAATAACCTTGGTAAACCTTGTACTCCTTGTACTTTTGCCTTTGACCTCTCCTTTCAAAGTGACTCATCTCCCAGATTTAAGTGTCGTTCTCTTGTCCCTTCCTTCATCCCCATGATCAATCTGACATAGATCAGTTAGCAGAGTTACTCTTCCCCCTGTGGAGGGCTGAACCAAAGCAGTGAGTCCTAGAAGAACAAACAGACCTGCAGGAGCGCTGGGAGGCTTCAGAGCTCTGCAAGTTATTTTTTGAAAGGGTATTGCAAAAACCTGGGATGCCACTGAACACACACCTTGTCCTGAGCAGAGCAGAAAAATTCTTAACTAGATATTGATCAGCAAGTGACACGTGGTAAAAAGGATCTGTGTGCATTCACTGGCATCAACCTTTTAATCCAAGAATCCACATTAGAATGAATTTCTATGAGTTTGTCGCTCCTAGAAATCCAAAAGCTCATTTCAGCACCACTAAGTCCATCACTCTTCTTTTTCTCTCTCTGGTTTTCTGCTGCATATATCTGCTCTCAATCACAGCTGTGCAATTCTTATCAGCTCGGGGGGGAAATTGAAACGTCAGTGGTGGGTGAACACCAGCACCTTTTCCATTGATGGCTATGTCGTCGGCCGATACATATCTCAAACAAGGCAAATATTTAGGGGGATATTACAGAGGGTTATTACAGAAAGCGAGCAAGGTGGATATCTTTTTTCACAATATGAGGAGATTGTGCTTCTGTTGCATGACATGTTTAATTATCTGAATTTATTTATTTATTCTTTATTTTTGAATGTGCAAAATATTCCATGTACGGGATATTTTAGCTTATGCAGATCCTTAGAGTTTGTACATTTCTGCTCAGCTAGAACATGTTGCACAGAAGTACGTGAAATGACCACGACCTCTCAACACTGCATTACATGGTAGTGGCACATACTGTGTTAGAATTATGTGGTGGCGGCACAGTTGGGTGTAGGCATCAACATTTCTTGTTTGGGTTTATGTTTTCTTTTAAAGTAAGTACATTTCAGTCAGGAACACTTTAGTCACAGAAGACTTTATTTCCATTTGCAGCATTATATTTGGCGGTATGGCTCTGTTCTGGGGCCTCTCTGCCTTTCCTCGGCCTATGCAGACAGCCTCTTCCACATGCCTACGTGGAAAGCCTAAGGCGGAGAGGGCACACCTCTCCGCCCTTCCATGCGCTTACGTGAAAAGCCTAAGGTGGAGAGAGCACACCTCTCTGCCCTTCCATGCATTACGTGAAAAGCCTAAGGTGGAAAGAGCACACCTCTCCGCCCTTCCATGAGCTTACATGAAAAGCCTAAGGTGGAGAGAGCACACCTCTCTGCCCTTCCATGCGCCTACATGGAAAGCCTAAGGCAGGGAGAGCAACAAAGACCCCCAGGAACAGAGCAGCGCAGCATCAATGACAAACAGAAATGACATTAATAAGTCAGATACAGCATGAAAAGGAGGAGCTGGGGTGGAGGCAGGTTGCAAAGCAGCTTGCAGAGGAAGCAGCAACAGTAGGCAGGCCAGAGCAGTTTAAATAGGGTGCCCTGAATGAGATTCGCCAATTGGTTGCATAGAAAGGAATCATGTGATCTATCAGCTGACTCCCTTCCATCAATCAGCTGCTCCATCAGTTGATTGGGCGGTTTGAGATCAGCTGATGTAGCTGGGATGTGAGCTGAGCTTGACATTGTGTCCTGCCTGAGCTAACACTATGCTCAATTTGTTATGTATGGGGTGGTATGGTTTGGTTCAGGCACCAAAACTCATTCTCGGTTAAATTTACAGCAGTTGTTATGTCAGAGCGACATTGTTGAGTTGAGGTCAGGCACCAAAACTACCTGCATTTGGTAAAAATAACTATGTTTGTTATGTCAGGGGCAACACGTCTGGGTTTAGGTACCAAAATTAATTGGTTAGGTTTTGAAAAATCTTGTGTTTATGGTTTAAATGACTGCTTTGTTAGACACAGGCGGCATGGTTTGGATTAGAAAAAGATCATGTTTTCGGTTGAAATAAGTACAGTTGTTTTATGTGGGGCAACACGTCTGGGTTTAGGCGCCAAAAAATTTGGATAGGTTTTGAAAAATACAGTGTTTTCAGTATGAATAACTAAGTTTGTTACGTATGAGGTGGCATGATTGGGTTTCAGGCACCAAAACTGCTCGGTTAGGTTTAGAAAAACTTGTGTGTTTGGTTGAAATAATTACGTTTGTTATGTATGGGATGTAAGCACATCATAACAGACTTATAAATAAGTCTAAGTTGACTTTCACTTACTAAAAGTCCACTGTTTGTTTGAGCCATCAATGCCCCTGACCTCCTCTGTACTTGGACTTTCTTGCTTGTAATACTAAACTTCATACAACGTATGGGGTTGTAACACTGACCACCCCCCATTGTGGGACATTGTTGAACCCATTCGTGTGTCAACCATAACGGAGGATCCTACTTGATTTTTCATTGGCACTGTTTCGGTGGTGCCGGTGGTGTGTCAAAGACCGTTCCCCCCTACCTAAATCCTGAGCCAACCCCTAGCTTTAACCCAACCACTGAGTGGGGCGCGACGCATTAACAGGAGGGAAACACTATTTGACAGGGGGACACATTTCTATACAACACTAGCATGTAATTTCAACACAGTACCTGCCATCACCACGTAATGCAGTGTTAACAGGTTCTGGTTCTTCCACGTATTACTGTAAGACCAGGCTTGACATCTTCTTACGTCCTATTGCTTGTTTCTCAGGTTCAAAGGACAAAGTAACCATTCCAACCTCAAGCTTCCCCAGACTTTCTGTATCTGACGGGCAGTCATCTCCGGCCTCTCCATCCTCCGTCTCCCTCTCTACCTCTGAACTGTCCCCATCTTCACCCAAAACAACCGCCCCTGATGAGTTCTCCAGGGGGGATCCCAGAGCATCTGGGTCCCCTGGCGCTGGGCAGGAGCATGGTAGGCAGGCTAACCGATCAAGAGGACAACAGCCGTCTCACCACAACCATAAGCGTACCACCAGCCCCAGCACCCAGACCAGAAAAACGAGCAGGAGTAACTCCAAGTCCGCTAGCCCGATGAGAGCCACTGATGGCTGGGCAGATCACGGAGAGCGCTCTCAGAGCCCCAGAAACGAGCGAGGCCACAGTGGATCCCTGGAGGACATGAGGAAAGACAGAAAAGCCCAAGGGCAGAGAGACCACCACTCTTCTAGCCCCAGGAAGGGCTCTAAGAGAGAACATGACCCAGCTGTGCCTTTGAAGAACCTGGAGGAGCCCCAGAGCCCCCGGCGTCCAGCTGGCCAACAGCCTAGCACTGCCTCTGGAGAAAGGAAGGACTGGAGGTACAAGGAGGAGGAAGCAGCCTACTGGCAGGAGAGGGGGGCTCCAGAGAGTGGAGACAAAAGCACGGGGACCAGCGAACGCCACAAGAAGGGCAAAAGGGCTGAGCAAGAGGCAGCGGCACAGAAACCCCAAACGCACAGGGAGAGGGCAGGGTCAGATGTTGATAGCGGCACCCTGACCCGGAGAAGCGGAAGAGAGAGGGGGGATAAGGAATATCGGGAAGAGGTGAACAAGAAGGATCCCAGAGGTTCAAGCAGTAGCATCCAGGACCCCAGCTGCAACGGGAGCACCACCAGCAAGAAGGCTCCCATCACCCCTGGTCCATGGAAAGTTCCCAGTTCTGCCAAGATCCAGTCGCAGGTGGAGACAACGTTTGCAGATGTCTGATACTCCCAGGATTCTTAAAAAAAGCTGAGCCTCTAAAAGATGGACATTCACAATGGAAGGATTTTTATTTCTAGCAAACTCGGACAAAGCAGATCACTGTGTAACCAGCAACATAGCTTCTCATTGCTTTATTTTTTTTCACCCAGTTTGCCTCGGTCAGTTTGCATCAAGCTGCTGATGTCTGATACATGAGTATTAGTACTGTGCGACGATATGTGTAACAGGTTGGTTCTGAGTGTCTTTTTTGTTGTTGTTGTTGTTGTGTTTTTTGGGATGCGACACTGAAGTCTTTTTGTGCCAATCAGACTCCGGTTATAAAGAAGCTGCTCCGTATTGCACTCACTGTGAGATGAACTGCGCTCCCTGTCTACCCGCCTCGATGAAGGATTCGGCTTTTTTTTGTGTCACTTTGAAGGTTTAAGATACATTCATGCCGTCACTCAGCTTTTCTTCCCCCCCCCCCCCCCCGGCGAGATTGATTCACAGTTGCTGTCACTGGTGGATGGACTCAAAAGTGGCTGCAAAGCGTGACACTTACTGTCTTTTTTTTTTTTTTTGACGCAAACTGTTCGGGTGACTGCATTCATGCACATGAGAAGACTCTTTCATCCCATTAGCTTACCAGAGGGTGGACGGACCACCTGGGAGCTTTATATGCATCAATCAGCAGACCAGATACTTGTGGTTATAATGTTTGTTACATGTGTGTTAATAATAAAGCATAATGTAATTTATTGAAATTATATGTAAACAAAAACTGTCAGTACACATATCCACGCTGAGTCACTTCACCTTCAATGTGGGACTTAACGACAGAAATAAAATGTGTAGGCAAGCATCACCATCTGAGACAACAACACTATGAAAATCTATACATTCTATTTCTACGACTTCACGGTCTGTAAAACATGAATCACGCGAGCCTGATTCATAATGTCGTCTACTGTTTGCAGCTCTGTATTTTACGTCCTCTCTGGCTGTGTGTGTATGTATACAAGCTGACTGGTAGGCCTGTGTATTTTAGATAATCGCTGTAGCATCGACTATAATCTGAGACATATATTATTTAACAAAGTGATGACACGTATATCGACACATAATTTAGATGAGTTGAATTAACAGAGCTTGATTGTAAGAAGTGAGAACTCTGCCTTCGACTTGTTAAGAGGTATTTTTATTATCACAAATGTAGGCACAAAAACATTCTTCCTCATTCTAACCTACAAATCTATTTTTGATCCTTTTTTTTTATAATTTAGTACACGATCCATAATGTGAGAAAAAATCGTATGTAAATGCTTAATTGTTCGTCTTTAACACCATCATGGCTGTCACGTTTGTGTTATAAATACACTCCCTGAGAATGCAGTTAATTTTCCACACATGGAGGGAACGTCATCACAATACGCTCCCCTCTTTGGGAGTTTTATTTGAATTTAATCTATAATCAGATTTAATCAAACAGGGATTAAAGTACCAGATGGAAAAATATATCTATTTTTAATTTATTGATATGAGTTGTGCCCTGCTCTGGAGACAAAATCTAGTGTTGTCTTAATGTAGCTTCTGTGGAGTACAGAGACATCTAGTGGTTCATGCACTACTCTTCACAAACTGCTTCAAGCGTCCCCTCATCAGCCTGTTGAAGGAAGTAACACGTGCATCTATATCGGTCTATGAGACCACGTACTAATTTATTGTCCACTTTATTGTTGATATGATGGGCTACTGTATTATTTACTGTTCATGCCATTACCATGTATGATACTGTGGCCTTGCATCGCTCCAACATATATATATATATATTAAAAAAAAAAAAGAAAGTCTTTTAGTTTTGACATCATGGTAGTTGTAAATGTTTATAAATTGTACAGCACCTGTATAAATCTTTGCCTTCATGCAGGAAAAAAAATCCTCTGTAAATCGTTTCATTATTTTTTTAAGGGAGTCGCGAGGAAATGATATAAAATGGGTGAAAAGAAATAATCTGGTCATGGCATTCTGTTCATGCACTGATAAATAAAGGTTTACTGAATAAACGAGACTGATGTGGGTTTATTTATTTATTTTCATAGATTTAAGGGAAGTAAAATTATTCTATTGATCCTGCTCTTATTGGTAAAACAATCAAAGGCCTGTTACAAGATTCACATGTTCCTTCTTGCCTTATATACAGTTTATTTTGGTGGATGTGCCTCTGCCGTGTTAACAAGTATCATTTTTAAAACTTCTCTGACTGCCACCACAGATTATCTCAATACCATAAACCTTGAATTAAAAGCCTGGTCCTGATTAAATGCCTAGTCCCTTTTACGAGCCTAGCGTGGCTCCACATTGTGACAAATAATCACCTGTCTCAATAAGACTCAGAGAGCTTCAAATTTAAATTAAAATTTTTACTTAAAGATCCTGGCTTAGGAGTGATTTAGGAAAGTTCTCAGTAACTCTTACCAAGGAAGGGACATAAACTTTAACCTTAGTGAATAGGTGTGGTCGCTCCTGTTTCTAGGTGTGATGCTGTCTTTTAACAGATGTGATTGGTTGTCACAGATATGCCCTTTTGTGAGCCTGCAAGGTGTGTACACCCAGTGGAAATAAAATGAACTGCAAACTGTGAAGGTGTTGTCAGTGTTAGTGCAATCACTGCTGATGGTAGGTTGAGACAGACCCAAGTCATTTTATTTCTGGTGTTAAAGTGTTGGGTGGGAAATGTGTGCATATCCCTAATCATATCAACCACACATATTATTCCTGCACGATCTAATCTGTAGCCAGCGTTTGGAGAATATTCCTCTGACGTCTTTGTTTCCACCAGTTCTCCTCTGCCTTGTAAGAAAATGTCACAATTCTAAGACTTTCATCACGAGGAGCAACTCTTTGCACGAGGAAGCTTTGTGGATACGGCCCCTGGTCTGGTTGCCAAGCAAGTCATTGTTTTTTTTAATAGAAGGTCTTCAAATGTGGGTTGTTGGCTACCTCAATTTATGTGTCCGTTCCTTGATTACTCTGTAGGTAATTCTTAAACCTTTAGTCTGTAAGAGTCCTCAGATCAAAAGAATCAAAAGGGTTTTTCGGTTTAAAAGACTCCTTTGAACACACGAACAAGAAATTATTTTAACATTAGTTTTTGGTCACAAGACTGTAACAATCATCAAAGTGTGATTCAGTGCTAAAACCTGAGGCAAAACTGATGCAATATACAATTTTTAAAAGCACTACAGGCAGTAGTGACATATTTCCAGCAGGACCTATTATTATTAGCAGCAGTAGAAAAGAGTATAGTGCTTACATGTGTATGTATTAATCATCCATTGCTGCATATTGTGTTGCACATTGTAGCATAATACACATATTTTTATACATATGTAAGGGCATTGACACGGTTGACAGTCGCTGCCTCCTCTCTGTGGAATCCACTTAGTTTCCCTAGTTGACTCTTCCAAATTTTAGTCTTTTATTTTATTGTTTTTAATAAAGAATTTACTGTGTTTTTATAATCCTACTCTGTGTAAAGTGTCTTCGCAGACTCTGAAAAGCTCAATAGAAGTGTGATGTATTACATAAAACTTTATTTACTAGTTTTATACACTGTAGCAAAATGAACATATTTATATTTTTACATATTTTATTTTTCTGCTTTGTTATAAGTCTCTACCCTATACACCAGAGTGACTGTAAGGTATCACAGATTCCTCCCAGAGATCAAAAAAGTATTTTTAATTTCTGATTAATGACCAGTATAATGATTATAGAAAGTAAAACATGTTCCAGTGTACATACAAGAACCTGACTGGTGTTTTAAGACAGCCTTAAAAAAAACTGTGAACTCATCCTTTAATTCGGCCTCGCAGTGTAATAAAAGGTTTAGTAACAGCAGTATTTGTTTCACACTGACGTCAGGACCGTCCACGGTGAAGCACTGCCTCTCGTGGCTGTGATCAAATTAACCATGACGTCAGCAGAGCAGAAGTGAGTGCGTGCGAGACAGCACGCAGTCCTCACAGTGTACTCAGACTCCCGTGCAGCTTTGCAACACCAAAAAACTACATCACCCATAGCTCCATATAGTACGCATGCGCAGAAGACTCAAAATATTGACACGAACTACAAATTAACGGCAGGAGGACTACAATTCTTCGGGCGCCTGCGCGCTAGGAACCCCGAGTCCTTTAAATGTACTGTACGTGCAAAGATGGCAGCTCAAGTCGACTTGCTCCGTGCCAAAGTAGAAGAGGAGAAGGTGAGGGACAGCCTGGCCAGACTCATCAGAGAGAGGAAGAAGAAGAAGAAGAGGGACCTGTCGCCGCCCGCTGACAAACGGGACAAGTCGGTGAAGGAGGCGAAGAAAGTGAAGCTCCATCACCACCTCAGCCACCAACAACACGCCGAGCACCGGAGCCACCAGCCGCATCAGCTGCAGCAGAGCCTCAAACCCCTCAAGTTCAGCGCGGAGAAACATGTCCTGCACAGCCACCACCATCACCACCATCACCGCCACGGGCTCACCAACGGCACCAAGAGCCTGCAGCCGACTTTACCTCCTCCACCTCCGCCTCCTCCTCCTCAGAGGAAGGTGCCCGAGCAGCTGCAGAAGAAGCGAGCGCTGCCCCATGAGCCACCTGCGCTCTTCACGTTCACGCCGCTCAAAATGGTCAAGGCCAAGCCCCAGGATTTCAAAGACAAGCACCGGGATAAGGAGCTGAAACTGAAGCTCAAGAAGGAAAACACCGAGGCTAATGTGAAACACACGCAGCTGAAGAAGAAGAAAGGTGAGTTTCATTATTCTGTGTATATTCTAAAGGGGGTATGTTATTTAAAAATAGACTGTAATATGTATTGTTTTATTTTCTCTCAGTGATACGCAGGGGTCAGGTCTAATACTATGATAATATGTAAATAAATAAATAAATAAATAAAAATAAAAAAAAGATTTCAGTGACTTTTACTCATGCCAGTAATTATGATACATATTATTACAGTATTCAAATATGATCACCCCCAATATCCCCCACTGACCTGAACTTTGTTTAGCATGCATTTTTAATTTGTCCGAGCTATTTTGGATCAATAGGACCCAAAAAGTATAAATGAAAAACTCAACATTGTCAATGATAATAAAGTCCCAGTGTCCTCAAATGAGTACTTCCTAATAAACAGCGTCTACGCTTGTTACTGTTGCTAAAATCAAACTATAAACATAATTAATCATAAATGGAAAAGCTCAGAAAGCTTTTACAAAGTTCACTCTTTATTCAGGTAATTTTAATTTAGTTATGGCACAAATTACTTAAAAACTATAATAAAAAACAATCAAACAAAACTTTTCATTTCAGGCTTTTTTTAGGGAACACTTCCCTAAAGTGATTCTTACATTCATCAACTGTTAAAATGTGTAGCCTATACACTGATTAAAAAAATATTTTAACATTTCATCTACTAAAATGTGCGTCATTCGTCTTTGGCCTGGCGCCTTTTCCTCCAAAAACATCACTAGAGATGGCTACAGTAGCCTTGAGTCTCCCTAACTAGGCTGGCTGTGGATTTAAAATCCGGAAAGGAAACAGGGACAAATTTATTTGCTTTAAAGTAAGTCAAAGTACCAAATAATCATAAATAGCCTTCTGCAGAACAGCCACCTTGTGCTACAACAATAATGAATGCTCATTTAGATCCAGTAGTAATGTTGATAGGCTGAATTCAACTATGAGGCTCAAATATGTTTTTGTGACTCCAGCCAAAAATGGCTCTTTTGATAGTAAAGGTTGCCGACCCCTGGTCTGTGCTAAAAGTGCTCTAAAGTAAATTTTGGTGAGGGAACAACTGGCATTTTAAGGAAAAGGACATTTAACTACTTAACTTTCCATACTGACGCAGTTTTCAACAAGCCTATGCACTAAAACAGCACAAAAGAATTCCTGAAATTCAGCTATGACTTTTGGTTTTGGTAGATTTGGTCCTCCCCCAATGTTGAGTCCATGGCTACGGCCTTGCTTTTACTTGCTCTCTTACAGGAGAGGCAGACTGTGCAATAGTGCCATTATAAAGAACTAAATAGATACATATGCCTTCAAAATCTTATTTATTTGTCTAGCATCAATCATTGGAGGGTGTGTGACAGTCAAAAAGTTGGGTAACTCCTCCACAATAATGTTGTGAGTATGGGTAGATAGCATGCCATTGTCACAGGGTGTCTACAGCTCCTTAAAAAGTCTTCAGGTGTCTTAAATTCAGATTCAATGAGTCTTAAATATTTACAGTGACATTACCGTGAAAATAAGGTGGTATTAAAAAGGTCTTAAAGAGTCTTAAATTTAACTTGGTTATATCTGTGGACACCCTGTATCAAGCATGATTGTCAATAAAATAGATTATGTATGAAAATAATCTGTTGTAGTGCCCAGCAGGGTCACAGATGAAACTACCTGAACCCTGCCCCTCTGACTTTTACCTGCTCTTGTACCTGCAGAGCCGAGGCCCCACAATGAGAACGTCAAATCCTTTACACTGGAGGAATACCTCCTGAAGAAGAAAAAGAAGAAGAAGAAGCACCGTGAGGAGGAGCACACTGCCAAGAAGGTCCGACACATGCACAACAAAGCTGTTCAGACTGTATGTGCAGGGCTCGGAGCAGATCTCACTCTGCCCGTTCACCCCGATCCGTCTCTGCCTGGCTCCGTGAAGCACGAAAGCAACCACCACCCTGGCAGAGACGCTGTCGCCAACCACCAACCCTACCTCCAAGCTCTCAAACTCGGACATGTCCCCTTCCTCTCCCACCAAGACCACTACATTCGCAGCTCCTGCCTGCAGACGGGCACCTGGTATGGACGCTTCATGCACGAGGAGAGGCAAGCCAACGGTGGGGGGTTAGTTCTGCACGCCTATGCTGATGAGTTAGCGTGTCTCAGCCCGGCTGAGATGGAGTGCTTCGCCCAGGAGTTTCTGGAGTTGACTTTTGCAGAGAAGACGAGAGGTGCAGCCGCATATGCCTTGACAGTGGTGCACAATGCAGCCGCCTTCCTACCTGACTTCCTGGACTACTTTGCCTTCAACTTCCCCAACACGCCGGTCAAAATGGAGATACTGGGCAAGAAAGACATAGAGACCACCACCATCGCCAACTTTCACTCTCAGGTATGTGACAAGGCCAGGTAACTTCCTGACCTCAGCAAAGGGTTTGGAATTGCACTCAACATCTGCACTTTTACCACAACCAAGTTTATAGGTCATACTTTATGATGAAAGCGGTGGTCAGTGGGTGTTGTTCATGATCAGCTCAGTCAGCTGAGCTTTTTAATTTAGTTTAAATTAGGGCTGTTTTCGAAACAAAAATGATTCAATTTACCATCATAGAAATCAAATTTGGGAGGTTGGAACTGGCTAACGTTTGACAGTTTTTGCTATAAAAGTCTGTGGTGAATGAGGTCTAGATACAAGCAGTCAGAGTGAGTTTCCTCAGAAGGGTGGCTGGGCTCAGTCTAAGAGCTAGGTAGAGGAGCTCGGAGTAGAGCTGCTGCTCCTTTGCGTCAAAAGGGGTCAGTTAAAGGTAAATTTCGGTTTATTTCAACCCGTCTCCTATCGTCCTAAATTTGTTTCAAGTGACTAGTGACATAGAAATAATAGTTAGCATGTTAGCCGTTAGCCTAGATACAGCCGGGGTGCATAGTAGCGTCAGACCTGTTAAAACTTAAGTGAACGGGCAACCTTCAAGTGCAAAGTTAGTCCACTAAACAAGCTTTTTTTCCACAAAGACCGCCTCATATCGTTAGGATAAATGTCAGAGAACATATAGAAAACGACATGTAAACGTGTTGTCTTACCTTACCGGTGTGCTGCCATGTTTGTTTACCATCTAGCTCTGCTTTCCAAAGCGCGGCCGAAATATCGCGAGAACAAGCAGCGATCTCATACCGTGCCTGAAATCTCGCGAGAACAAGCAGCAACAGCTGGAAGGCAGAACCGGACAGTAGCCTGAAAAGTTCATTCATTTATTTTATGAAAGATTTATAGAATAATGGCTGACTTTTTGCCAGACTTCGACTTTGTGGAGGAGGAATTTGATTTTGCAGAGTTTGATGGCCGCCCTTATTTATTTGAGCCAGAATACACTGACGAAGAGCTTCGTGAAATTGAAGAACGGAGGAGGAGAGAGAGAGAGGCGCAACAGGTAGAGGACGAGAGAGGAGGAATGGCTGCTGCAAGGCTGCGTAGCTCTGGAGATTGGTGGTGTACCTGTGAATGCTGTGCCCCAGTGCCCACAGAAGAGGAATGCCTCTGTTGCAAGGAATGGGACCGGTTGCAGCCTTATTTTCAAGGTCTGGATGTGACCGAGGACGAGACACCTCCACCTGGAGTAGTATCCAGCTGGGCTTTATCTAGAGCTCGCGAGATATATTTCGGCCGCGCTTTGGAAAGCAGAGCTAAATGGTAAACAAACATGGCAGCACACCGGTAAGGTAAGACAACACGTTTACATGTCGTTTTCTATATGTTCTCTGACATTTATCCTAACGATATGAGGCGGTCTTTGTGGAAAAAAAGCTTGTTTAGTGGACTAACTTTGCACTTGAAGGTTGCCCGTTCACTTACGTTTTAACAGGTCTGACGCTACTATGCGCCCCGGCTGTATCTAGGCTAACGGCTAACATGCTAACTATTATTTTTATGTCACTAGTCACTTGAAACAAATTTAGGACGATAGGAGACGGGTTGAAATAAACCGAAATTTCCCTTTAAGAAGGTTCAGGCATCTGATCAGGATGCCTCTTGGGTGCCTCCCATTGGAGATGTTCCGGGCACGTCCCACTGGTAAGAGGCCCTGGGGCAGACCCAGAACACGCTGGAGGGATTACATATCTCATCTGGCCTGGGAACGCCTTGGGGTCCCCAAGGGGGAGCTGGAAAGCGTCGCTGGGGAAATGTTGCAGGGGTGCTTTGCTTGGCCTGCTGCCCCCGTGACCCAGCTTCAGATAAGCGTGTGAAAATGGATGGATGGATAAAACAATTCATATCAATCAAGAAGTGGCCGAGATGACGCATGGAAAAACAATTAGCAGACTGCAGTCTGTTAGATAAAAATAAGTTCAGTGTTGAGTATATGTACAACATGTTCACCCCCCAGGAGTTGACTTGTTGAGTTGTTCAGTGTGCTGGTGCTAAGTTGTAACTGTTCTTACAGAGATCTAATGGAGTTGCTTTTGCTCCACGTCAGTGCAGGATCAAACCCGCACTCTCTGCCTGATAAAGATGGCAGAGAGGAGAAAGACTGAGCCAGGATGTCTGCATGTGTGATGTTAGATCTGCGGAGGACACACACAGAGCTCAGCGGTTTTCTGTTTATGCAGGGAAAGTAGACTTAGTTTGGTAATTTCACCACTAGAGAGTCCAGAGAATAAATTGATGCTTTGAGAGCAGAGTGATTGCACTAAAATGCTTCGTTTGTATCTGCTGCACTTTACTGGGTCAGTGCTTTGTATAAAGCTGCATACAGCAGGCCTTTAGATAGAAACACAGTGACTGCAGTGTTCACATCAGGATGATAACGTTATACAGATTCATGTAGCTTTAAAACCTTTCCTTACAATGATTACAGTCTGGTAAATTTTCTATGCAGGTACCAACACGGTGGTAGCTGTGAGTTGATTTATAAAAACATAATATAAAGCTCAGAGGCTGTGGTCCGCAGCTTATCGCCTACACACACTCATAAGCATGTGAGGAATCCAACAGTTTGACTGTGTGTGGATTCCCAGAGTAAAAAGGATCCGTTAGGCATGATGTGCTGCCGCGGCTTCGTCACAGCCTCTCCCCCGTGGTGCGAGTGTAAATTCTACATCTAGCTTAAAGGATTACGTCGGACAAAAGTAATACTGTAAAGTCGATACTGCCTCCTCGGAGCAGTAATTCTGTTTTCTTCAAAGTAGGACGGTGATGACAGTTCCTGTGTAGCGTTAATAATCATATCTCGTTGATACATCTGCAGCAGACACCTTTTTAAAGACGGTTTCAAACTTGACAAGATAAACACTCTAAATGTGTCCCTTTGTGTTTCCTCTTGGGTTGTTTGTTAATGCAGTAGCAGACAGGAAGTAAACACGGACCAAAGCTGTTGTCCTGGCAACAGAATAGCAATGAAACAGTCTGTGCACTAACAGAAAAACAAAGTATACTAAAGCAATAAGTATAAAGCATGTACAGTGTGTGGTCACGTTGAATGACTCGAGGTGTTTCTCTTGTCCCAGGTGAGCCGGACTTACTGTTCAGGAACCTACCGGTCCGGACCCATGAGGCAGATCAGCTTGGTGGGAGCTGTGGACGAGGAAGTGGGAGACTATTTCCCAGAGTTCCTCGACATGCTGGAGGAGTCACCGTTTCTCAAGGTCAGAGGAAGATTTGTTTTTATCATTTTTATACACTGATCAGGTGACGTGAGGTGAGCCGGCAGGTGAAGTGAGTGACACTGATCATCTTGTTACAGCCTTCTCTTTGGAAACCTTGGGTCCTGGCATTCATGTGGACACCACTTGATACACACTGCACATGCAAACACTGTTGCAGACCGAGTATGTGTATATAGAGATGTGGCTTTTGGTGTTTGTATGACGGCCACTTAAATAGATAAGATAATCATGTTATTCACTTCACTTTCCAGTGCTTGTAATGTCGTGGCTGATGGGTGTCAATATTCTGATGGGTCATATTCAGGGAAAAAGTTTGTCCTCACACAGCAATTAACTAAAGCTGTGATTACTAGCTCGCACCATGACGGTCACAGCATGAACATGCATCCATAACCTGCGTCCATAACTTCCACTAGACCCCCTAAACCCTATAGATTTCAGGAGCATACAGTGTGTTTTGCTTGCTATAATGTGTGTGTGAATGTTGGTGTGTGTGTCACCACACAGATGACATTACCGTGGGGAACCCTCTCCAGTCTGAAGCTGGACTGCCGCTCCCAGAGTGACGACGGGCCCATCATGTGGGTGCGGCCAGGAGAACAGATGGTGCCCACGGCTGACATGCCCAAGTCGCCTTTCAAAAGACGCAGGTACAGCTACAGCTGCAAAGCCAATATATAAACACAGAGTTGTGTTTAGGTGTGCTTGTGCAGACTGAAAACCTGTCCTCTTGTCCTTTACATGTCTACTCGCGTGTTTTTATTTAGGTCCATGAATGAGGTAAAAAATCTACACTACCTGCCGAGGGCCAGTGAACCCAGAGAGGTTCTGTTCGAGGACCGGACGAAGGCCCACGCTGACCATGTAGGGCAGAGCTTTGACTGGCAGAGCACTGCTGCTGTCGGGGTGCTGAAGGCAGTGCACTTTGGAGAATGGTAAGTGAAACAGTTTAATAAAAATGCGGGTAAATAGTTAGTAATGCTCACGATGACATAATGGTATCTGATGAGGAATTATTATTATTATTATTAATACAAATGAGGAAGCGCGCACATCCAAAAATAAGGATTGGGTGCTGGACAAAAAAGTCAAAACATGTAAGATAAAGGAAAAGAAGTCCGCACACCAAAAAAGCTCCAATGCAAATAAAATTTAACTTAATTTCATTTATCCATGAAGTGATTTAATTAAATTTTATTTGCATTGGAGCTTTTTTGGTGTGCGGCCTTCTTTTCCTTTATCTTACACAAATTATTGTTATTAGTAATTATTTTGTGAAGAAATTTAACCTCAGTTTTGGTGTTCATTTCCGATCTAGAAACTGCTCTTCACTGACTGTTAAAACTTCTTTTACCAATATTGGATGATGCTGGTGTTTTACACTGGCTTTAGCTTATTTTTAAATGTATACATTTTAATTGACCTCAATATTTAAAGCAATTTTTGGTACCTTTCTCCTCTAATTATCTGTTGAGACACTCTATACATCTTTTTTCTGTTTTTGCAGTCTCTAGGTCTACAGCTAAGAAAGCCTTTATGTTTAAAGCTTGGTTTGATTGGAATAATCTACCTCTTTACATGCCCAAAATAAATCCTCTATAAGGTTATTTAATTATGATGTTAACACTTCTATGATCTATAATTTAGGCCCCGATCACACATAAAGCATTTTGCAGGTTGCAAAATATGAGGCGCACTGCACTGTTTGACAGTTTGACAACCTGCTGTCTATCATCAGGCCGTATAACTTTGGATATCCAGCAACCACCAACTGTAAATTTGTTGTTGTGATCACCACAGAAGGTCCGCCTCTTAAATCATGTGATTGGACAATGGGGAAAAAAGAGATGGTGTGGGGTGCTTTCCCACTCTGAGTAGAAGTTTTTTTTTTTTTTCAACTGAAAAAAGTGTCTGAAAAAAACGGCAGGCTCCTAGACTGCAGAAACGCGAGGCACCCCAACACAAAAACAGCAAGCAATCTCATTAAAAACAATGACAAAAAGCTGCCTCCAGCTGCTGAAACACTTTCTGTGTGATCTGGGCTTTAATGATTCATAACATGCTCTGTTTGTCTATCTTATTATTTGATAAAGAATTTCCAGCAGGAAGGACAATTGACTTGTGTGTTTCATGCTTGTTTGTAATGTGTTCCAGGAATAACCGACCTCGGATAACCAAAGATGTGGTGTGTTTCGACGCTGGGGACTTCAATGAAGTTGTCCAGAGGCTGCAGCTGGATCTGTATGAACCCCCAGTGTCTCAGGTTAGAATCCATGATCTGTTAGTACGTGTATCATATCAGATGTTTTTATTATACTACAGCTATACTGCTAAAACTTTAAACATAAAACCTTGTTTGTCTTCACGCAGTGTGTTCAGTGGGTAGATGATGCCAAACTCAACCAGCTGAGGAGGGAAGGCATCCGCTACGTGCGCGTCCAGCTCTGTGACGATGACATCTACTTCATCCCGAGGAATGTCATCCACCAGTTCAAGACAGTGTCGGCCGTCTGCAGCCTGGCCTGGCACATCCGCCTCAAGCAGTACCAACCAGAGGGGAAGGACAAGGAGGAGGAGCAGTGGCCCAGTGATCCCAGCCCCACCTCAGGGCGATTCTCTTTCTCCTCCCCCGCCAGACCTGACGCGACCATTACCCCCTGTGCACGACCACAGGGAGACAACATCCACGGTGGGGTGGCCAAGACAGAAGAACCAGAGTTCCAGAAGCCGGCAACACCGAACCAGGAGCCTCAGCCGGCCCCTCCGCAGCCCACCAAATCTGCTCACATACCCCCGAGATACCAGGAGCCCCACCTTTCTTTGGAAGCAGTCCACGCTGGATGTACACCTTCAAAAGAGCCCACCCTTCCAAAAGCTCTCGGCCACACGGCGGGCTTCCCTAAATGACCTTTCTTTCTTCCTACAATCTCTCTCTCGCCCACTTTGGGAGGAGCATATGTGAAGGAATTGTAGACTCAAACTGACATTTGTGTCAATCAGGAAACCTTTAAATTATTCTTTTTTTAATCTTTAAATGTCGATAAAATGTTCCCATAGGATGTTTTTCAGCAAAGGGACTGAATGGGACTCTGTAACACTTTTTTTGTTTGATAGCACCGAAACTGGAACTCTCTACTGTCTTATTCAGAAGGTGTGCATCATGTAAAGGAACTATTATTTTTAGACTGACAATATAAGTTGCCACATTTACTGTAAGAAACACTTTTTTGGTTTATGTTCAAGGCTCCACTGTTTCTTTTGTTGACAGAAAGATTTCATGAAAGATGGCAGGCCGTGGCAGGCGGATGATTGTTCACGTACATAATATATGATTACTCTGGAAACATGATACTGTCATAATTTTTTTATTCGTCTCAGTGACAGTGGCAGATAGACTAACCATACCCAGACATTGTCAGTGGTCTGTAAAGCTTGGCACATATTGGATGTCCTGAGGCCTGTACTACGAAGCCAGATCAACTTACCCAGGATATCTTCTCCTTATCTGGCTTGACTAACCCTAACATTGGCCGTCTGGATAACCGGTACTACAAAGCTGGTTATCAACTAGTTCAGTCAACTCTGGGGATTCCTATCTAGCCAGGAGCATATTCATGTTAAGAAGGCAGGGGTGTTGATTATGAGCGACATCATCACCGAAAGTGTCTGGGACTGCGAGACAGTAAAATGTTAATGGCAAGAGATGAAAATGAATTTCTGTAATCTTATAATGGAAAATTTACAAACATTGAAAATACTAGCCAAAAATTAACCATTGGCCGAGACTCAAATTACACGTAGGTATATGTGACATTAGTTCAGAGTATTTTTTTGTTGTTTAGTTGGATGATGATCTTCAGTGATCTGATTGGTCAGAGGTCGGGGTGATGACATAATTTGCTCCAGAGCAGGTTAGCTGTTCAGCACGTGTTACCACGGTGATTGATCCCGTAAAAAGAGAACCAGCTTCGTAGTACCGAAAACCCAGACCTCAAACCCAACCTTGCTAACTCCAAATCCTGCTTCGTAGTACAGGCCTCAGGGTTGGTAAGAGACAGTAAAAATAGGAAGCTAAAAATGAATGTTTGGGGTTTTTTATAAATATTTCTTTTAAATTCAAAAAGATATCCTTTGGGTTGAAACTCAAAGGAGCTGTATACTACATTTAGAACATTAACATAGCAGCAAACAGCTATGTGCTATGTAAAGATACAGTGGAGTGATGGCGTCCTGAGGAGAGGATGAACTCACACTCCTGTGTGTGTTGTAGTCCAAGCTCCTCTGTTCTTTGTTGAGGTAGGTGGTCCGGCTGCACATAGTCTAGCTCACCAGACCTTTCTCAAGAAAAGAAAGGTCTGGCTGGGTCGACTCTTACTGTAAAAAACGCCCTGGCCGCTTGTATTTCTTTCAACCAATCACAATCGTTCTGGGCGGTGCCACAGCAACGGTGCGCTTACAAAAATATTGCCAGGGGGAAACAGGTTTTGGTGTAACACACAAAAATATCGCCTACAGGACGCAAACCATGGCAGAAAAATGGCTACATCCCTGCAAGACCAAACACCACAAAAGTTAGTAAAGGACGTGTTGAAAATGGTTGAAAACTGCTACACAACCGGAGGTGGTAGGGCGGGACTTCAGTGGGTGGCTCGTTCCGCCCAATGAGAGGCTGATCTATGCAGCGAACTTCCGCCCACTCAGACTAGGCTGCACATACATGTAAGTGCATATGATTTCCTGTGTAGCTCAGTGCCTTCCCCCTGCGCTGTACTAAAATGGTGGTTACCGCCAATAACACAGTCCCAACCCACCCTCTGATTTCCCCCCAAGGTAACACCTTTATCTCTGTCAGCACTGTTGTTGTTAGCGCTGTACACGCTGTTATGGTTCGTGTCCAGATGGGGTTGTTTTTCCTCTCAGCGCTGGCATCTTTTTTTGTTGTTCCTAAAGAGTAGAGGGCACATGCGGCCTCCTAGAGATAAAGCACTGCGCCCAGCATCTTTTTCTCATAGTGCTCCACCTTTTTTTGTGTACGCACTGTGAATGCCTCTAATTGAAGTTCATTGAACTTTCAGAAAAGTGTCAGTGACGTCACTTCTACTAGGCTGCTGTGTACTGTCACAACAAAGTCAGCAAAGCTCATTTTGGGAAGCATGTCAGCTTATAGACACTGGATGTTGATGGTGAGTGTTTTCCTTTTTATTATCGTTCGCTTTGTAAGCTTGTTGTTAACACTGGAATCAGTGCTCTGTGTCACGCTACCTAGCTAACGTTTGTTTCAAGAAATTATTGTCATAGAAACATACTGATGCGGATGATACCGCCGATTTTCTGCTGTAGAAAAAAGCTATATGGACACAGAACCTTAGCACTGTTAGCTGCTAGCAGGCGGCCAGAAGCCAACGGCACCAACACCGGCTAGTGGCTAGCAGCTATAGATGCTAACCGCGGCTAGTGGCTAGCAGCTAACGGTTGGGGGTGGAGTAGCTATAGGCAGAGATACTGGATGAAGCGAGATACCCAACTCAGCTCACTTCCTGATTCAGTGACGTCAGCGCCACGCCCCCGTAGGAGACTTGAGGCAGCTCTGAATGTATTGTCGTCAATGAGGAAAATGAACGTGATCACGATTTATGGTCAATTCTTTAGCCCTGTAGTCATTAAAGTAAATATTGGGTTCATTTCCCACAAGCCACACATCTTACCAACATTCTGACGCTAAAGCTGCATTTTTCATCCGCACAGATCAAGAGAAAGTTAACTTTATTTGAGCCCTATCCATCTCAGAAAACAAGTTCTCGCGAGATCTCGTGATCTTGATAAACAGGCGGTAAAATCACAGTTAGCTTACAAACAGTTATTTACCGCTAGTAATAAATAAAAAATGCCCAAGCTTTGTGCAACAATAGGCTGCAATAATAGGAAGAATGTATTTTCATTCCACCTGCTTCTCGATCTGCATACACAGACATCCACAGAGCCTCTGTTCAACACGGTGGTGGGGAGGGGGGGTTGAGGGAGAACAGGCTCTGATTGGAGGGAGAGCTAACCACGCCCACTTAGGAGACAGGAAGAGTAACCGTTTTTTTAACATTGTATAAGCCTACAGTTGGGTATCTCCCTTCATCCAGTATCTCTGCTATAGGTGCTAACAGCGGCTAGTTGCTACCGGCTAACGATCACTAGCAGCTATAGTTGCTAACAGCGGCCAGTGGCTAGCAGCTAAAGGTCGGCCAGTGGCTAGCAGCTAACGGTCGTTAACAGCAATAGGTGCTAACAGCGGCCAGTGGCTAGCAGCTAAGAATGGCTAGCAGCTAACATCAGGGTTGTTTGGTTTTGATTGTGCCTTGCGTGGAAAGTGGACAAGTGCAAGCAGCAGTGATAAAGCGCTAAGTTAGGACAATTTCCCGACAGCTTCCAGCAGCCTCCAGTCTGTACAGGAAGTCACATAAACATTCATATCTGGTTATATCTAACATTCTGGTTTATTAAAACGTTATTAGATCCATGTATCAGTTAGCTCACAGCCTCCAATCATTTAAATCAGACAAATAAAACCAAAATCTCTCCAATTCAGCAAAAATAAAAACTTTATAAAACCGCATAATGGTGAGACAACATTTAAACCAATCAGCTGTTAGAGCAGGTGAGAGCAAGGTGTTTTCCCCTAGTGCCTGGCACATAAAACAGCGGCTGCCTCGATCTTGTGAGAATATCGTCCACTTTGCATTGTGTGGTGATCACCGATGATCGGTCCTGTACAGGCCTGGCTCATACAGAACAAGCGTATTGCAAACAGGACGAACTACACTAACGACGGCAACAGTGCTGCTAGCTGCCCGGTCAGCCACCTCCATGTTGAGAGCCATGTGCAGACAACCTGAATCAGACTCTGAATCACAGATATGCTCTGAATGTCATATACAGCTCCTTTTTAAAATGATCTAATCAAACTACTGGCACTTAACACTTGTGTTTGTCAGCTTTATAAGTTGCAGTTTGCGCAGTTCTTTATTTAATAAGCATTTGATACAATGCCCCTTTTCTTACTGTTGATACTGTGTTTGATATTTTATTTATTTTCTTAGGATTGAGCTCAACATAAGAACACAGATTTATAACCAGTGATGATTATTTAAGATTATAATGTGATTAAAGGAGCGCCTCTGAATGACAAAACAACCGTGGCTATTGCACTTAGCAATAATTGTCTGAATCTTTTCTTCAGGTGTGGAGTTTGTCTTCAGAGTTTGGTATGTAAATATGTTTGTCGTCATTGCTGGGAATAAGTGGATGCTGTCCGTGCACTTGGGTTATTTTTCACTTGACTTAAATTCACATTTAGTTTTAGCGGGTGATGTCACGAGGGGGATGAAGGCACCGTTGTAGCGGGTTGCTGTGGTTGTATAGGAGTGTAACTGTGTGGATTTATACAGCCAACGCCTGTTGTTTTTTCTCAGTCCTGGCAAAGTTAAGTAATGAGGCCTCCTTCAAAAGTATCCATGACTGAAGTGTTCTGCACTGTGACAGATGTAAGTGAATTTCACGTTTGTTTCAGTCCTCAGATAACGTTGAACACAGATAGCAGAGATTCTGATCTGAGCGTTAGAGTTCATCTGAACCTCACAGGGGCCTTTGTTCTGTAGTCTTCTATAAATGAAGTGATGATGTGATACTGCCTTTTCTCTTCCACTGACTACATCTTTGTGCCTTGTACTGTATACGGTCAGCCTCATTTAAAACTGTGAGGTTTATTTATTGATGATTAGGGGGGTAAAATGGGGACTGGCCCAGCAGCCATCTTGTTTTTGTTTTTCTATTTATAACGAATATTGCTCACATGATGCTTCTTGATTTCTACATCTGCATGTCACCTGAAAGAAACAGTAACATCATAGTGTCATATATATTAGATCTTATTCAGGAAGCAGAATGGTTTCATTTGTTTGAGTGATCTGGCTGTCATAGGTCTTGACTTAATAGCTCAATGTAGGAATAAGTTGACGGTCACATCAGCCTTTTTTGTCATATTTGTTGTGATGCTCTGTGTTCTAGCACCAATGATTGCTGTTGTTAATGTTTGTACTAAGACGTTTTTAATCATTTTTGTCGGTGATAATTTACAGGCAGTAGAGGTCTGATACCAATATGATTACGTAGAGAAAAAAAAACACAATGAGAATGCATAGACTTTCTATATTTTTTAATAAATAATTTTGTGTGCAACCAGTTTTAACACATTTTACCTGTACAGTTGCATCATATGCATATTACTCAGTATACATCACATTCACTGTACCTTGAGATATCCTGATAATCCTTTTAAAATATGATGCTTCTAAAA